GAGACACACACAGACACACAGAGAGAGACACACAGAGAGGCACACAGAGATAGACACACAGAGACACACAGACAGACACACAAGCAGAGAGAGACAACACAGAGACACACAGACAGGCACACAAGCAGAGAGAGACACACAGAGAGAGACACAGAGAGAGACACACACAACATAGACACACAGAGACACACAGACAGACACACAAGCAGAGAGAGACAACACAGAGACACACAGACAGACACACAAGCAGAGAGAGACACACACAGAGAGACACACAGAGAGAGAGAGAGACACACAACATAGACACACAGAGACGTATTCTATTATTTCATTTATTTTCTTTCTACGTGACTTTACCGAAAGATCCAAGGAGTAATTCCTGCGGGCACGAAAGCTTCAAATCAAGTTTGAGTACAATGATAATTACATGATATGGGTGGAGTAGTGGCACAGTGGATAGGGCACAGTGCCATGGATCCGGCAGCCCGAGTTTTCATTCCCAGTGCTTATCGAGTTGTTCGTCCCATACTGCATTTGTCCTGCACCACGCCACGTCCCAGTAAACAGCTGCCGAGTGAGTGGAGCTCATATCGAGGTGGAGGAAGCCACTGCATATTCCGTAGCTGGCAGTATTCTCTGAAGTTTTTTCCGCCGATCCCACGGAGAATGACGGCGCTGTTTCTGTGCGCGCGCGTGCGTTCGCCTCCTGGAAACGATGGCATGCGGGCGCGCAGAGGGCAGTGCCGCAAAAGTATTTTGTTGTAATGTACTTCTATGCTGCTGCATCTATGCTCCCCGCCTTAACCAACCCACACCGAACAGCGTGGTGAGTTACGGGGAAAGTAAATGCCCAGGACCCGCGCGGCATATGGAGGGCCTTCATCCAGCAGTGGATAGACACATGGCTGTGCGTGTTTACTCTAGCTACTGTGTAGGTTTGAGTTTGCCTGATTTGTCCTGCTTCTGTTTCACGATTTGAGTTAAGAATCAGTTCTCTTCTTTAATATTGTCGTGGAATGTAGTGGCCATCAAATCCTCCTGGTTCAAGCAGGGGTGGCTGAACACATGGATTCGAACCCAGCGCTTCAGCGTCGCTGGCTCAGCGCTCAATCTCTGAGCCAAGTGGCCACCTCCTCCTTGGCTGTGTTATTTTTCTGACACGATGCTGGATGTACGCTTTACGCCTTCGCAGTTGGTGTGTACAAGGGAAAATATTCGATTGTAGACGAAAAAAAAATATCTCCAGGGATAAGGATACCACGGCGCAATTTGCACCTACGTGTACCAACATGCAAACGCAAACGGAGCAGCTCCTACGTCTTAATATCATCACAACTCATGCTTTGCATTTAAATTGCTGCCGATGCTGCACGCTCAAGCCAGAATCAATTTTCACCTCTGCATTGCGGGGAGGAGGAGGCGTCCGTCCTGCCGGAGCGCTCACGCAACCACCCCGACACGGCATGCGGAGGAGGCCCTCATCCAGCTGCGGATTGACATCGGGCTGCGTGTACGAGCCCACTGAGACCAGGAGTCTACATAACTCGTGCTTCTCATTTGGAAGCCTTCTCTAGAAATGCAGTGAGGGAGAAAAGTGTTTGATCCCCTGCTGATTTTGTACGTTTGCCCACTGACAAAGAAATGATCAGTCTATAATGTTAATGGTAGGTTTATTTGAACAGTGAGAGACAGAATAACAACAACAAAATCCGTAAAAACGCATGTCAAAATGTTATAAATTTAGTTGCATTTTAATGAGGGAAATACGTATTTGACCCCCTCTCAATCAGAAAGATTTCTGGCTCCCAGGTGTCTTTTATACAGGTAACGAGCTTGGTTTAGGAGCACACTCTTAAAGGGAGTGCTCCTAATCTCAGCTTGTTACCTGTATAAAAGACATCTGTCTAAAGAAGCAATCAATCAGATTCCAAACTCTCCATCATGGCCAAGACCAAAGAGCTCTCCAAGGATGTCAGGGACAAGAATGTAGACCTACACAAGGCTGGAATGGGCTACAAGACCATTGCCAAGCAGCTTGGTGAGAAGGTGACAACAGTTGGTGCGATTATTCGCAAATTAAGAAACACAAAAGAACTGTCAATCTCCCTCGGCCTGGGGCTCCATGCAAGATCTCACCTCGTGGAGTTGCAATGATCATGAGAACGGTGAGAAATCAGCCCAGAACTACACGGGAGGATCTTGTCAATGATCTCAAGGCAGCTGGGACCATAGTCACCAAGAAAACAATTGGTAACACTACGCCGTGAAGGACTGAAATCCTGCAGTGCCCGCAAGATCCCCCTGCTCAAGAAAGCACATAAACATGCCCGTCTGAAGTTTGCCAATGAACATCTGAATGATTCAGAGGACAACTGGGTGAAAGTGTTGTGGTCAGATGAGACCAAATTGGAGCTCTTTGGCATCAACTCAACTTGCCGTGTTTGGAGGAGGAATGCTGCCTATGACCCCAAGAACACCATCCCCACCGTCAAACACGGAGGTGGAAACATTATGCTTTGGGGGTGTTTTTCTGCTAAGGGGACAGGACAACTTCACCGCATCAAAGGGATGATGGACAGGGCCACGTACCATCAAATCTTGGGTGAGAAACTCCTTCCCTCAGCCAGGGCATTGAAAATGGGTCGTGGATGGGTATTCCAGCATGACAATGACCCAAAACACACGGCCAAGGCAACAAAGGAATGGCTCAAGAAGAAGCACATTAAGGTCCTGGAGTGGCCTAGCCAGTCTCCAGACCTTAATCCCATAGAAAATCTGTGGAGGGAGCTGAAGGTTCGAGTTGCCAAACGTCAGCCTTGAAACCTGAATGACTTGGAGAAGATCTGCAAAGAGGAGTGGGACAATATCCCTCTTGAGATGTGTGCAAACCTGGTGGCCAACTACAAGAAACGTCTGACCTCTGTGATTGCCAACAAGGGTTTTGCCACCAACTACTAAGTCATGTTTTGCAGAGGGGTCAAATACTTATTTCCCTCATTAAAATGCAAATCAATTTATAACATTTTTGACATGCGTTTTTCTGGATTTTGTTGTTGTTATTCTGTCTCTAACTGTTCAAATAAGCCTATCATTAAAATTATAGACTGATAATTTCTTTGTCAGTGGGAAAACGTACAAAATCAGCAGGGGATCAAATACTTTTTTTCCCTCACTGTAGAGCTACCCACACTATCGCGTGTCTTCGCCGATGTACGCACGGGCCGGCATTCGAATCGAACTCATAGTCAGGGGCCGTTTGCGACAATCAGATTACTGATTGTCAATTGTCTAGGATTTGTTTGCGTCGGATGTAATGAGAAATCGGCACAGGGTCGAGTAACCATGCCCAAACTCTCTATTGCCCGTGAATTTTGCTGCTCTCAGTGCTGTCGGGCGTCTTGCCATGCGTGTCCCTCTGCGGGAGGCCTAACTCGAGCGTAACGACCCGGCGGGTGTTGAAGCTCATGAATGGATCGCTCGCTCTCTCTCTCTCTCTCGTGCATCGCTTCATTTCTCTGTTATCCATTTAAATGGATTTGCGCGGTGATCAGTTGTCTAAACTGACCGGCTGACAATCGGCCAAATGCATAGCTCTTGTTTTCATGCACATGGTCAATCCACTGCTGGATGAGGGCCTGCCGTGCCGTTGTGGGGGTTGTTGGACCACACCTCACCACGCTGGTTCCGTGTGGGTGGTTGAAAGCGGGGAGCATGGATTGTGCAGAGCAACAGGGAACGTTTCCGTACCGCCCCCTGCTTATAACTTAGCCCTGCAGCAGCCGATAACACCCAGTGGTCGTCCATCCAAGCACGTGTCACACTCAGGCCTGCTTAGCTTTCGAGATGTCACACGAGACCGGGTGCAACTTCCAGGTTGATTTAGTCGTAAGCTCGCGGATTTCACAGGTTCGCATTTCGTAGGCGCATCGCATTTGGTTGCGTGTGCGTTGGTTTGCGTTGGTTTGTGTATTTCGCCGCTGGCATTGTGCACGGCGTCATGCAATTACGTACTGTGCAGTGCATTCAAATGTGTTCCTGCACGCGATGGACAATGGGAATAAGTCAACGGCACGCGTACGAATGAATATTGGTGCGGCAGAAATGAGTCTTTATCAGCCAATTTCTAATTTGTTTTTAACGTTTGATTATACGGAGGGAATTAGGCTGTTTATGTTGACATAATCGCGTTGCTCTGTGTTGCAATGGGAGATGTTGATTCGCACCCTGGTCATTATTTATTCATGGTGTGTTTGTCAGATGTAAGACCGGTGGGGGCATAGGCACTGATCCCCTAGCTCACTAAGTCACTGATGCACCCATGAGGTCTCGCTGGGTATCTTCCCTATGACTGTACAGAGCACATTTGGCATAAGCGTCTCCTGTTTATTACGTAGTGCTTTATCCGCTTGCGTTGTGTATTATAACGGTGTGTCGAACTAGGACCCATATCAGCGAGAGAGGGTCATTCCCGATACACGTCTGACAGTTCAGCACTGCTTTAAGCATGCCCGAGTTTGCTGATGAGATACCAAATGCCAAAACCGGTCCAGAGTTTGCTTCCGTTGAACCGATTTTGCTGTAAAAAATAAAATTAAAACTCGCTCCTAGCTGTTGTGTTACGTTCTGTCACAAACATCACAAGCCAAAAAAACGAGTGTCGCCCCCTCCAGCAATTCAATACATTTCCGCGATTCAAGATTGAAAAACCTATTGTTTTCATCTCACTTTTCTGCATGTATGTTGGACTTCTTTCGCACCGTACGCAGCCAAACGTTGCAACCCTTTGGCTCCCTTCATTTTGTTTGCTCTTTCATCTTAGGCTGCAGAACAGTTCTGTCGCCAATTATAAATCACGGATTCCTGCACGAGTGCAGCGGTCGATGTTGGTGGACGCGTTGCCACGTGCTCGGTCACGACACCCGTGCCACGCTTGTGCTAAACTACCCCCCCCCCCCGCCCCCCCCCCCCGTACGTGTGACGTACGTTTTTGCGTACTCCAGGATGCTGTTGCTGGGCATCTTGATGTTGATCGTGAGCTGGGGAACTCTCGGAGTGGAGGTCGCAGTGTCTGTGGTAAGTTGCCGCGGTAACCCGGGGGTAGTGATGGTGCGGGGATGTGGACCCGGCTGGGCTCACAGCGCTCGCCTTGGCGATGGTGATCGAGGAGGAGGAGGGGGGGGGGGGGGCTTGTGGCTGGGCCGTTGGACAGCGGCGCTAATCGCAGCGACGGCTCGGCTCTCTTCACGCCACTCTGCTTAGCAGCTGAACAATGAAGGGTGGGGACGGTGGTGCACCGCTCCGTCACCCTTCTCAGTGACGGTGGTGACGGTGGTGCACCGCTCCGTCACCCTTCTCAGTGACGGTGGTGACGGTGGTGCACCGCTCCGTCACCCTTCTCAGTGACGGTGGTGACGGTGGTGCACCGCTCCGTCACCCTTCTCAGTGACGGTGGTGACGGTGGTGCACCGCTCCGTCACCCTTCTCAGTGACGGTGGTGACGGTGGTGCACCGCTCCGTCACCCTTCTCAGTGACGGTGGTGACGGTGATGACGGTGGTGACGGTGGTGACGGTGGTGCACTACTCCGTCATCCTTCTCAGTGAGGGTGGTGACGGTGGTGACGGTGGTGACGGTGGTGACGGTGGTGCACTACTCCGTCACCCTTCTCAGTGAGGGTGGTGACGGTGGTGACGGTGGTGATGGTGGTGAGGGTGGTGACGGTGGTGACGGTGGTGACGGTGGTGATGGTGGTGACGGTGGTGACGGTGGTGCACTGCTCCGTCACCCTTCTCAGTGAGGGTGGTGACGGTGGTGACGGTGGTGATGGTGGTGAGGGTGGTGACGGTGGTGATGGTGGTGACGGTGGTGACGGTGGTGACGGTGGTGATGGTGGTGACGGTGGTGCACTACTCCGTCACCCTTCTCAGTGAGGGTGGTGACGGTGGTGACGGTGGTGACGGTGGTGACGGTGGTGCACTACTCCGTCACCCTTCTCAGTGTGGGTGGTGACGGTGGTGACGGTGGTGATGGTGGTGACGGTGGTGACGGTGGTGAGGGTGGTGACGGAGGTGACGGTGGTGACGGTGGTGACGGTGGTGCACCGCTCCGTCACCCTTTTCTCGATGTGTTTCTCCGTTTGTTTGCAGCGGGTCACGGCGCCGCCAGTAATTCAGCTGGAATGACGATGTTTTCGAGAATGAATTGTCCATGCCACGTGGTTTGAAATGAAATGAAAAAATGTCACCTGTAAAATCCCTTGAGATAGAACATCTCATTTGCAAGCGTGTCCAGGGTATCAATTGACACACGCACAGCAAACACCTAATGATGCGTTCACTACAAATGCAAATTATTTTAGTTTGTGTGTACAGTACAGTAAATAACGGGTTTTTGTTAAAAGTGAGGGACTTTTTTATATGTGCTCTGCAGACTTTAAGGCAGTTTGTCACACTCCAGAAAGCGTCATGTAAAGGCCTATATTCTATTGTTACTGCCACTGCACATGTATTATTTATGATTTTTCCACCCACGTTAAAGTAAGCCACTTAGACCTTGCCAATATTTTGCCAGCCACTAGTAAAATAGCAGTGGGGAGTAGCCATGGAAGGAACAATAAATAGCCACATTCCACAGTAATATTCACAGTCATATTATTTTTCTATTTCTCACTCGGGAATACCCACTGGCTTGCTTGGCCCTGCTTTGAAACCCACAATTCCACACTCCTCACTCGAAAGCCATCGGTGCAGTGGTGAGGTGGAGCTGTGCTCCAGTGGGTTCACGTGGTGCTTGTGGTGTGGATAGCGGCGTTGTGTCGGCAGTCTGGCCTATCCAGACCCCCTACCACTTCCTGTAATCGTAGAAATAAAATCAAAGTGAGAATCCTGAATTATACATTCTGCAGCTTAAAATGCACATGTTTGACCCGCAGAAATGTCTAAACTAGGAATGTGGTTGGTAAAGAACTCCTGTAGCACTTCCCCCATATGAATTATGCACGGCATATTTTATATATGTTTTCTCTTTGCTCTCTAAGCATACCAACTATACGCCCATTTGTATTCAATGCACATTGTAAGCCACGGGATCATGTTCGTGGTATTTCATTCTTTCAAAGCTGACTCTAGCGGACGTAATGTTGTCAGCCTGTCCCAGCCTCACTCTCCTGGTTCTTTATTAAGACGACTGAGGGACGTTGCAACAAGTCAATGAAAGGCCAAGGCTGCTGTTAGGAAACAGACATTGCTCTATTATTCCCCAAATCTGTGGACCGTTCGGAGCTCGTTCTCTTCTGATGATGCTGTGGTGCATTTACACGGCATCCGGCTTCAAGGGCATTGGGCTCGATTCACTAGTCGCCGAATGTTCCGTTTTGTCTGATAATGTGGAAAGTGTCTCTGTTTCCATCACCAAGACCGGTTGAGAACATCACTCAAGGGTATTTGGTGAAGGTGTGAATCTGACCCATGAAGCGTGGTCATGAAGTTTAGCTTAAGCTGACTGCGGATTCGTATTGAAATGTATCACTCCAAGGTTGTGATGCATAAATGTTCAATAAGATTGACATATCAAATACTTTTTATATTTGTAATGCATTTTTTATATGTTGTATTTTTTGGTTGTACTATAATTGATGGTGAAACGGTGGTACTGAGCTATGGCCCCGTGACCTGAGTTTAATTCCCAGCCACGGCTAACATCAGTGGCGAGCGATTTCAAAACCGCCAGTTTCACCAACCCTCACTGACCGACGAGCTCAAGTATGGTCAACCAATCCCGGTGACCGACACAGCATGGGGAGACCTTCATCCAGAAATGTATTGACAAAGGGTTGTGGATTATTAGTCGTAAATTTCCACTTTGTGTGTAACGGTCTTGCGTAGTAAAGGCATTCTATCACATCCTTTTGTCAATCCATTGCTGGATGCCATATCAGTCATCAGCATCATTAGGGTTGTTTGACCATACTTTACCATGCTGGCTAATGCGGGTTGGTGAATGACCAGCTCTGATATCACTCATCACTGATGGTAGCCATGGCCTGAAATCTAATTAAGGTGGCTGGTTTCATGGCGAAACTCGCTAACCACTGCGCCACCACTCCACCCCACGGTAGAACTCTACTAATGTGGTTGTGGAAGACGTCTGTTGGGGAAGGCCCCACAATGCATCGTACGCGCGCTTTCATGTGCCAATGTTTTTCACAGCAGACTTAATTCACTCTCAAGCAATAGAAGTAGTTTTTTGTTTGTTTGTTTTTGGGCCTCGTGCCAACCTTGGCATGCATGGTATGGTTATAAAGCACTGTATGGTTCCACTGTGAATTAATTACAATACAAATCGTGCCCAGTGGCTTCCAAGGGACAATTATTCCATTTACTTTCAACACACGCGGGTCGTTTTTTTTCCCTCGCTCGGTGGCTTTCCTCCATGTCGCTACGAAACACACGTTCAAATTTGAATTCACGAGAACCAAGTTCGAATCCCAGACGAGGCGGCTGAAAGGGTTTTTGCTGAGTTTTAAAATCAGGATTTAGTTCGGTCCACACATCACCAAAAGGGTACATCAAACTAATTCACTTGATTCATCCTGGCAGATGATTGAATGAAACGGACGTTCGCGATGTTCATTTGTCACGTGATTGAATGTGATCTTGTGTTGCTTTGGTTGCAGGGCGTGAGTGACTTTTGCATGGCCCCAGAGAAGTATATCACGAACCTAACACAGGAATATTCCATCATGAGCAAAGGTGAGTCCGGTGGTGGCCTGGTGTATGTGAATAATCATGCATTGTGCTCGTATCATCTTTAATGTGGGCATTCATTAAACATGATCATTATTTATTCAGGAAAGCCTTTGCCGAGTCTCTAGACTCGTGTGCAGGAGAGTGCTGTTTCATTGGGATGCTTGGCCAATCCAGTCTGTGAATATTTGGCCTCGTGTGGGAGGAAAGCGGAGTATCTGGAAAAAAACCCCACGACACTGCATACGAGGGGGTGACCCTCAGCACTGCCACCTCCTGCCCACACCTCGCAGCCCCACGACACCTACAACACCTGGCAAACCTCAGCAGGCTCAGGCCTGCTTAGCTTCCGCCATCAGACCAGATTTGGACGCATTCAGACCCATTTAGCCAAAGACTATGAAAATCCTTGACTTTATTGCCCGAGTATTCACAGCCAATCAATTTCAAAGTGAGTTCCTGCTGAGATGAGCGCTGAGGCGGTGCTCACATCCTGCCAACTTCTCTGAGCCTGAGGGCTATGAAGAATACATTATGTACATGATGGGAGTCCTTGACGCTGTTGTGGATGCGTATCTAAGCACTGTTTATTTGTTTATCCTGTCTGCAGTGAGTTGTGGCATGGGTTTCCTGTAAACAAGTTGTTGTTGTTGCTATTGTTGCTCTACGTTTGATTTGCACTTTCCGTCCACCCTGCGATGCCCGGTAGCTGCCGACGGCTCTGGGCTGTGGCCGTCTTCGTACCACAGCTGCTTAGTCGTATGGGGCCTCACCAATGGTATAAATTCCACATTCCCATGGTGGGGACGAGTCTCCCCATAACAGAACCACTCTTGACTTTTCCACAAAGCCGTGCTCGTTCCGTCACGGGCCCCCGAGTGACTAAGGGCCGAGTCAAGCCTCGCACCAGGATTTAAACTCCGCAACTTTCCCATCGCGAGCCGCTCACTCGCTCACCCACTGGGCCACATGGCTGCACTGTGCGCAGACTGAGCGTTAAATAGGAGAGCATAAAACCATCATCACATGAACTCCGCTCATCCTCGAAGCAGCGGCTTTGTGCTAGCCACTGAACAAAGACGGTCACCGCGTCGCGCGAGATTTCAGATGCACTTCTGCGGCGGTCTGGAATGCCCCTCCGATATTGAGAAGCCGCTGGCGCTATGCGACTTTTAAATCATCTAGGTTGAAAACTGATTCCTTTAGAACTGCTTCATGTGTTTGGCTCGTCGTCCCTCTGCCGCACCTCCGATTAGCGCAGTTGGCTACGCACGGTGCGAAAGAAGTCCAGCACACGTACATACATACTACTCTGCGTTGCATCTTGCCCAAGGTTCGGGGCAGAAGCAACGCGGATCGCCCCGTGCGCGTCTCGTCGTCACCACATCGCCACGATGATGACCCTCATCCACCACCCCCCCCCCCCCCCCAACTGAGCTGCACGGCAGAAAATCCGTGGAATTAGCGAACGCCTGGGGGAATTATCCTGACCGCGGCTTCCGGGAAAAACACAATAATCTGTTGACTTTATATTTCTAATTCCTAAACGGAATGTTGAGTGCAACTGAAAACGCTTTAAAAAAAAATGCTTTGGGAAACATCAACTGCGCAATGAATTTGCTTCTCCGTCCACATCTACGGTCTGGTGGCTCATTTCGCTGCATGTCAGGCGCACGTTGGCAGCCTCGAGCGGGGAACTGCAAGTGGGATATTGTGTTCGCGGCGTCCCTTGCCTCGTGCTCTGCCCTTGTGGGCTGGCTGCTCAATCGTCGGTGCCGTGATGCGGAGCACAGTGCAGAGCTCTGCCCCCACCAGCGGCGATCGCTTTTGCCTTTGCACACGGTCATCGCAACAATAACAACAGCAGCAGGAGCAGCAGCGGCGGCGGCGACGGCGACGACGATGATGCCCTCTGCTTACCCAGGAAAGGTTCCCTCAGTCTCAACACACTCTCTTTAAGGAAGGCCTCAGAACCTGTTTTCAGGAGGGTCCTGCCCTGGCACGTTTGGCCCTGAGTATTGGGCGCGTGCGAGGAAACGTGTTTCATGATTAAATTCCACGTGCAGTCTTCCTCTTCTTCTTCTCTCGCACGGCAGGGCGATTAGCGCCCTGCCGTGCGTAGGCGCGTGGGGGTTTCCTGAGCCCCGGGGAGCGACGTTGCGAGCAACGCGCACCCCTTCTGTGTGATCCGTAACGACCGTCTACCCCCCCCACCCCCACCACCTTGTGTTGTTGCAGACGTGTTGCAGTACTACCTCCACTGCAGCCTCCAGACGAAAAACCCTTTCCTGCGGGTGAGCGTTGTGCCCTTGGCGCGAGCGTGGCGCGAGCGTGGCCGCGTGCTGGTCCTCTGTGTGTGCGATCACAGCTGTGTTTACCGACACGCGCTATGGAAGCTCTCGCACACCGGGCATAGTGCCTGATTAAGCTGGTGCGGGGCCTGTAGCATGTGTTATGAAGGGGCCCTACATTTTTTTTTTACAAATACATACATATTAAAACACACACATTTTTTTTACTTGCACAGTAAAGTAATTGTGTGTTTTCATTCGCTATACAGCCAGATAATACGGCAATTCGCTAACCTTAAACACCCAGTCGTTCATAAAAGTTTAGGGCAGGTATAGTACTATAGTAATAGAGCAAGGGCAGAATCAATGAACCGGAATTGATAGCTTGAAAGCGTTTAGCGCGGGGCCCTTGAAAGTGCGGAGCCCGTAGCAACTGCATGTGTAGTCGCTACTACACGTGTAGCTACTACATATGTTGTAGCTACTTGTGCTACTAGGAGAGTCCGGCACTGCCTGGGCACGACATCGACCCTGGAACTCCTCAAGAACCCCCCCTCCCCGTCCTCTCCTCCCGGCCGCCCTTTGAGCCTTCGCCTCCCTCATGAGCGGTTCGGCTCCCACGTCGTTTATCAAACCCATTTAACGCTTATGACTTACGCGATGTTGTAAGCGCCGGCCAGGTGGCTCAGCGGTACAGCGAGCGTCACGCAGGCAGAAGTTTGCGAGTTCAAATCCTGGCTGGGGGGTTGACTCAGCCCATCATTCCTCTGCGGCCGATGAAATGCGTACCGCTTCGTGGCAAAGTCCAACTGTGGTATCCTATGCAAAGACTCGCCCCAGCCGTATGAATGTGGAATTTCCACCACTGGCTCAGGGCTGTAAACAGGAGATGAGCACCGCCACGATGCAGAAGATCGCTTTGACTATCTGTACACATGCACACTCGCACATGTGTCAGAATACAAAAGCTCCCTTGGTATTCAGTCGTTGATGTGAGAGCGGTTGCTCTGAATTGTGCATTGGATGATTTAATGGGTTTGATACAGTGCACGTGGTACAGAGTCACCAGGTTGAAATCTTCGCCGCGGAATTTGTCTTGAAGGTTGCCCTTTCAAAACACCACTTGAAGGGAGGCGATTGTGGGAAAACGTGTGCATGTATTTGTTTAACTTGTCTGTGTGTGAGTGTGCGTGTGGAGCAGTGGCGAAGCGGTTCACGCACTGAGCTGGGAACTTAATTACTTAAATTCGATTCCGGGCCACGGCTTGCATCGGTGGCAAGCCATATCAGAACATGTCTTGGGCCACTCTTAGGCCCACTCAGCCTTAAATGAGTACCTGGTATGGTGTGCAGATGCCAGAAATGGGGAATAAAAGGTGTCAATGCATGGTGCTGACCACGCCACCCCCTCGGATATTGTGACGGCCTAGAGAGGTGCTTGGTGGCACAACAATGCGACTGTGTATGTGTTGTGGGATGTTTTTACATGTGCGTGTGTGTGTGTGTGCGTGCATTCCTGTCACGTTATCTTGCACTCGTGCTTTGGAGATGAAGCCACTGTTAGCGATGATTTGCTACTCATGGAAGGTGGTGGTGGTAGTTGCATATTCAGAAATGTTCACTGAAAATCTGTGTATGGCCGTGTGCTCCAGTGTGGGATTTTCCAAAGTACAATCCTCAGCACCCACCGCCGTTTCACACCCAACGTGTCTGATGATTGTTAAACACGTCGCACGTGACGACGCGCAAAGCAGGTAGCGCTGTCTGCATCACGTGGCTAATTTACACGCACACTGAGATCTCGGTCTTCACTTGAATCGGGTCTCTGTAGAGCGAGCGGATTCAAATTGAGAGAGAGAGAGAGATCCAATTCAAATTAAGATTGAGATCTCGTTGCGTGTGCGCCACATGGGACGTTTTTGAGCAATCATCGGGAGTGTGCAGCGTGGAGCGACTCTCTATTGTATTTTAATGAGAGGAGTCAAAAGGTATATGGGGAAAGACGTAGCGCGGTGGTGGGAGGCGGGGACTGGCGTTTGGAATTCCCAGCTCGAGTGACCGTTATACCCCAGCCCAAGTGACCGTTATACCCCAGCTCGAGTGACCGTTATACCCCAGCCCGAGTGACCGTTATACCCCAGCCCGAGTGACCGTTATACCCCAGCCCGAGTGACCGTTATACCCCAGCCCGAGTGACCGTTATACCCCAGCCCGAGTGACCGTTATACCCCAGCCCGAGTGACCGTTATACCCCAGCCCGAGTGACCGTTATACCCCAGCCCGAGTGATCGTTATAGCCCAGCCCGATTGACCGTTATACCCCAGCTCGAGTCACCGCTATACCCTAGCCCGAGTGACCGTTATACCCCAGCCCGAGTCACCGTTATACCCCAGCCCGAGTCACCGTTATACCCCAGCCCGAGTCACCGTTATACCCCAGCTCGAGTGACCGTTATACCCCAGCCCGAGTCACCGTTTTACCCCAGCTCGAGTGACCGTTATACCCCAGCCCGAGTGACCGTTATACCCCAGCCCGAGTCACCGTTATACCCCAGCCCGAGTGACCGTTATACCCCAGCTCGAGTGACCGTTATACCCCAGCTCGAGTCACCGTTTTACCCCAGCCCGATTGACCGTGTGCTCGTCGCGCCTGGGCTGTCCGGCATGTCGATCGTGCCGATGTTGTCGCGAGGTTGTCGCCCGTTTGTCGGAGCGCTGTCGGGGGCGTGTCTCCTGCAGAAGATGACGGGCAGCCTCCGCATCCTGTCGGACTTGCAGTCCCTGGTACTGGAGCTCATCATCTTCGCTGTGCAGGAATTCCCTGCCATGCAGGTAGCGCTCCCACACTCTGCACACCTCGCACAGAGCAATTCTTTCACGGAGCCGGTTTTACATTTTTGTCTTTGTTTAACGGCAAAGCTTTTGAGCAAGTTGTTTTTTTCATTGCAACACTTGCAGAGCCCCCTGCAAATATTAAAACACACACACACACATCCCACACAGACACCCACTCACGATACACACAACTAAGTTCACACAGCACAACATTCACTATGCTGAAGGGAAACAATAAAATACTAAAAATATAAAACAATAACATTCTCACGACGTTTCGACTGCAACACAAGCAATCATTATCGGGTTTGAATACCACAGCAAGAAAATTTTCTTGCTGTGGTTTTCACCACGCTGTTTACAGAACAGCACTGTTACCATCCACACCTTACCCAGCGCGCACCCTGCCCCAAATCTGCACAACACGGCACAAATAAAGCCAGATGGAATGTTTTCAAGTCAAGATGAAATCAACACAGAGACACGTCGCGTCCGCAGTAGAGACGGAAGGAAGCTGCGGATGTGTGTGCGAGCGCTCGCTTTGGTTCACACGTCACCTGGGAGGCTTCTTGTGGCCCCTAGACAGCATATCAATGATCCCTGCTCGAATTAATGCCGACATTTACAGGGTTACATTTACACAATTAACTTCAACAATTAATTAGGTTGGGTGAATTGAGTGCCACCGTGGACTGTTACCTCGAATTCAGGAGCCTGGCAGAGTGTTTAACCCGTCTAAACCATCACTCTGTCCAAATTCCACCTCTATTCATCTGAAGTTTGTCCTTAATGACGAAAAAAAAGTACTAAAAGAATGAATTACCAGTAGGCAGTTTACATAGTTATCTTACATGCCAAATCTTTTCACTCACAATACAGCTGCCATTTACGTCAACGGTGAGTGCGACATTGGGGTATATTTGAAATTCATTTTGTTATTTCACTTTCCATCTACGCTCTCCTTAGGCAAATGACAGGCCAGTGTTGCGGTTCAAATGTACACAATGTGTGACGCGCCCCCACTCGAGGGCATCGCTTCTCGCGCTTGACTCCGCAAAGTGCAGCGGCCATGGCAGGGGAGCATTTGTCCCAGGGCTCCTGCGGCTCGGCGTGCCGCCCCGAGGCTCGGCGTGCCGCCCCGAGGCTCCGCGTGCCGCCCCGAGGCTCGGCGTGCCGCCCCGAGGCTCCGCGTGCCGCCCCGAGGCTCCGCGTGCCGCCCCGAGGCTCCGCGTGCCGCCCCGAGGCTCGGCGTGCCGCCCCGAGGCTCGGCGTGCCGCCCCGAGGCTCCGCGTGCCGCTCGGCGCTCCGGCCTCGTTACGCTGCCACGAGCGACAGCTCCGTTGATGAAAACAAAACAAAACAACAACGCAGCAGCAGCAGCATTGGATAAACCAAACGTGAATTTCGAAGCACGCATTTTTTTTTTTAATCTTTTAAGTAGGTAGTTATATTAAAGGGTGCCCTGATAAAGGTCAATAAGCAATTACCCAAGCGTTGTTAAAGGGACAACGTAGAAACACAAGGTTATTAGGGGAGGAAGAAGAGGATGGGCGGGTGTGGGAAATGCTGTCACTACTTATGATTTAACATTTTTATTTCTACATTCATCGCTTTTGCTCGTTAATCCACCCGTGTTCTCGCTCATTCTTTATGATATTTTCATTATTCACCTGCCACCAGTCTTACCCTTTACAATCGGTCCGGACTACGGGACAACTTTACTATAGCTATTTTGAGAAAACTGTAAGTAAGCGTTCAACAACAAACACATTCTGGGTTTTCTGATGGCTGCTGTCCACTAGAGACCATCAGTGGTGTATACAGTGGAACCTGTGTACAGACCAGGCCAAGGGCCAAATAAATTGTCACCGGCTGTCCGCAAGTCATTTTATTTGGATCTCTGTGGACTGTTAACTTTGTAGTCGGTCAGCGATTCGAAGAACCAGCTTTGTTTCACCGTAGTTTTGCAAAACTATAGCGGAGTGTGAGATGCAATGAAAGGATTTGATAAATACAACTGAACTGCAACAAGGTTTTGGAACACACTAACGCAGGTTTTACTGTATACAGACCGGCCTACAATGTTTTTGGAGAGATGTCATATCCCATTTGAGTCGAGAATGTGTCACATCAGAAACGAAGCACATACAAAGTGAAATCTAGATTAGACACACACAGCCTGTCAATATTTCATTTGATGTATGCTCAAAGTGGCAACAGTCTATCTATGTACATAAACTTTTAACTGGACACCTAATCTGAACGTTTTACCATGCCAAGGATTTACATTAATGAATGCGTTTGGTATGCAAATTAATTAATAATATGCTTCATTAAAAATCAAACATGACACTTCTGCTTCCAAGCCTCTTCCAGGTCCATGCAGCATCACCAGATAATTTACATAAAAACACAGATGGCCGGTTACAAATAAAACTTTTACATTCACTGGTTTAAGATATGTTTGCGAGTTAAAGCTTTTTAAACAAAATCCTTTTATATCTGAACATTATAATAAATATGGGTTGGAACCTTTGCCCTAGGTTCCTAAGGACACCTTTGGCTGTGATCTGTAAACCATACAGCACACCACACTGTGTTCAACCACCACACTGTAGGTTACAACTCTTATCTTTCTGCTTCTTCCCACGCACTGCTCTTCTTTGGAATTTCCTGCGAACATCTCAAGGTTCGTACAATAATAACCTTAATTAACAAAACATGCATTCTCTTCTCGATTACAACTTTGATAGTGCCGTTTGCTGCTGGCTGCTTGACGTTTTGGGCCTTTGCGCCCTGTGCTTAGCGACTCTGTAAGGCGCATTCTTGCCTCGGTATCACTCACGGCACTTGGATCCTACAATGTAATGTATGATTTTGGAAAAGAAATCCATACGTCTGGAACGGCACACGACGCTCATTCTTGCTGCGCCACTGTGAAGCACCACGCTCGCACGCACGGAGCGGCTGGACCCACACGGGGACATCCCCACACACTCAGCCACGCTCGCACGCACGGAGCGGCTGGACCCACACGGGGACATCCCCACACACTCAGCCACGCTCACACACACGGAGCGGCTGGACCCACACGGGGACATCCCCACACACTCAGCCACGCTCGCACGCACGGAGCGGCTGGACCCACACGGGGACATCCCCACACACTCAGCCACGCTCACACACACGGAGCGGCTGGACCCACACGGGAACATCCCCACACACTCAGCCACGCTCACACGCACGGAGCGGCTGGACCCACACGGGGACATCCCCACACACTCAGCCACGCTCACACGCACGGAGCGGCTGGACCCACACGGGGACATCCCCACACACTCAGCCACGCTCACACGCACGGAGCGGCTGGACCCACACGGGGACATCCCCACACACTCAGCCACGCTCACACGCACGGAGCGGCTGGACCCACACGGGAACATCTCCACACACTCAGCCACGCTCACACGCACGGAGCGGCTGGACCCACACGGGGACGTCCCCACACACTCAGCCACGCTCACACCCACGGAGCGGCTGGACCCACACGGGAACATCCCCACACACTCAGCCACGCTCACACCCACGGAGCGGCTGGACCCACACGGGAACATCCCCACACACTCAGCCACGCTCACACGCACGGAGCGGCTGGACCCACACCGGGACATCCCCACACACTCAGCCACGCTCACACGCACGGAGCGGCTGGACCCACACGGGGACATCCCCACACACTCAGCCACGCTCACACGGAGCGGCTGGACCCACACGGGAACATCCCCACACATTCAGCCACGCTCACACCCACGGAGCGGCTGGACCCACACGGGAACATCGCCACACACTCAGCCAAGGAAGCCTTCGTGCGTGTAGTGGCCTCCACGGCGTCGTACGCTAACCAGAAATGGAGAATTCGAAATGCTCTCTCCACATTTGTCACGCACGCTGCCTTGCGCTTCGGATGCGTCCGCTGAACGTGCGCCGACCGACACCCATGGCACCCGTCCACACGAGGGGTCCCATCTCAAGGGGTTTTCTGGGTGAAATCTGTAAAACAAAAAAGATGCGTAGGAAAGCGCACGTGTCTCTCCTGCGGACGGGTGGTGTTTATAAGGCGGGTCGAATGTTCTAGGCAGACTCCCCTTTGAAGTCTACGTGGCCCTCCCTTCTCGGATAAGACGTGGAAAGTTCCTAAAAAGTGAAATATTTTGATTAAAAAAATGAACGATTATGATAAAAAAACATGTTTATTCGGTTTACCTTTTGAAATGTCAGCCCACTAGAAATGTCAGTGTCAATCACAAATTGTGGCGAGTGCTTGTGCAGTTGTGCCTGTGCACCACTGCCTATGCAGTCGCTTGATTGATCTGTCTCACCAGAATACAGATAGACTAAAGCAACGCACTTTGAGTTTACATCAAGCCGAAACACGTTCATATGTCAAGTTCATGCAGAGTGTCCTGGAATTAAACGATTTGAATTTCAATTAATACTAATTAATACAACATAAAAAAAAGAGAAGTGAATGTTACAGCAGTTTATTTATCTTTAACACGTGGTGCTTTCATTTCATCATAATGTTTTAACTGTGTAACATCATCGTGGTATTTAAATGGCCACATTTCCACGGTTGCGATATTTCACTTTTATTATCAATTACTTTGACATTCATTTATTTATTTTATCAGTCACAACGTTAATGTCTGTCGCTATCAAGTGACCCATTAAATCAGCCTTTCTCAAAACCGTGGGGTCTTGACCTGTCCCCAGCGGGGCGGTCACAAGTCGGGCCGACAATAAACCCATAAATAAACATTGAAACGGGGACGACGTCTATTTAACCACGGCAACGAGATAGCACACCAGCCTGTCAGTTGTCGGCATCGCTCGCCGCTCCAACAGCCACCCTCGCAGGGCTACGGCACCACCGCTTGCAATGATTCTTCCTCCTATTCGTCATCGCTGCGATACCATGGCAGCATCCGAGGGGCTGTTGGCCTGAACAACGGTTCACTTTGTACGTGCTTCATTTCTGCTATTGTCGCGTCGTCGACGACACGGATTTGTTCATGGCCTGTGCGTGGAGGCGTTGCTTGCCCCGCTGTAATTCGGTCCCGTCATTTTGGGTGACAGTTTAGTGTGCTCCTCACGTGAGCGTCCTGCCTGTGAGAGAGATTTATGTACGATTTACTTTGACTGCACGGATGAGGAGTCTACGGGGTGGTTAACATGTAAATGTGCAATGCTGCGCTCCACGTACGTATGATGCATGTGCGCGTACGTGACATTGCGTACCTCGTGAAGGCCATATCAGCGTGCAGATTACGAGCGGCATGTGTGTGTCTGTGTAGACCACCAGCCTACCCAAATTCACATTTACCAATTCTAAAATACCATCGTGATGTGAACACATTGTGAGACGACGTTAATATCGTAACTTAAACTTATAATTTACAGCCTTTTGTCAATTTATCAATCAACTGCTAGATAAAGCCTTCCCTACGCCATGTCAGTAATGGTGGTTGTGTGACCATATTTCACCATGCTGGTCAGTGTGGGTTGGTGACCTTCACAAACCAGTGTGGCATTAGGCCCAGACCCAGTTCAGACATCACTCGCCACTGAGTTCATAGTGAGTGCAGTAACCACCTCACCGTTCCTCCAACCCCACTCCTCTCTTGGTCATACACAGTGGCCAGGACACATCAACACTGGAGACAGTCACACCAGGAGACAGTCACACTCACCAGGAGACAGTCACACTCACCAGGAGACAGTCACACTCACCAGGGGACAGTCACACTCACCAGGAGACAGTCACACTCACCAGGACACATCAACACTCACCAGGAGACAGTCACACTCACCTGGAGACAGTCACACTCACCAGGAGACAGTCACACCAGGAGACAGTCACACTCACCTGGAGACAGTCACACTCACCTGGAGACAGTCAGACTCACCAGGAGACAGTCACACCAGGAAACAGTCACACTCACCTGGAGACAGTCACACTCACCAGGAGACAGTCACACTCACTAGGAGACAGTCACACTCACCTGGAGACAGTCACACCTGGAGACAGTCACACTCACCAGGAGACAGTCACACTCACCTGGAGACAGTCACACCAGGAGACAGTTACACTCACCAGGAGACAGTCACACTCACCTGGAGACAGTCACACTCATCAGGACACATAAACCCTCACCAGGAGACAGAGACACTGCCTGGGAGATTGAGGCACTAGTTAGGAAGATTTCATCGCTCCAACTAATTTATGGTTAAGTTTGCCATTGTAGAAAACAATCATTTAAGACGCTTCACTGAGACTACTGTCTAACATGTGGCTTAACTAGCAGGCAGCCACACACACCATAGGAAAAGCTGCATAACAAAGGACCTACATTCTTTGACGGTCCCAAACTAAGCAATGGCCGGCCGGTCGATGTATTTAGACTAAAGTCTGGGCCGTAATGGGCAAATCAAGATCGCCGCAGGTGCGGGTCTCCACCGATCAGGATCGGCCGAGTGGAGCATTCACTACCGGTGCTCGCAATGCATCTCACACCCGCGGTGATTTGTTTTCTCTTCGTGCCCCCCCACACATTCGTCTTCAGAAGGAGCTGTGGAACATCCAGGGGTCGCTGAATGCGACGGAGACCTCCATCCACCAGCTGACCGCGCTCGTGAATTGCCGTAGCCTGCACAAGGTAAGTGGCCCCAAGGCCCCCACCTGGCGCTGGCTGTGGTGCCGCGGTGCCGTCCGTGACGGTGCGGTGGTAACCACGCAAATTGTCCACTTTTTGGTCGTTAGTTGCAAAGCCCTTTCACTTCGAGCATTGCAGCGGAGGGCTCTCTAGCCTCCGCCGTTTGTGGCTCTTTTGAATTCAATAAGGGAAAATTGTCTGATAAATAGTCGCTATTTTGGGTATATTCCTGACTAGGGCCATGCTGGGGTTTATATATTTTACGCTTTCTAAAGCGTTAGTCGCACTTTAGCTGCACAATGACTGTGCTGCACCTCTCCATAAAGTAGCTTTAACCTGTTACACCGCATTGCTCTATTCTGATCATTATTCTGCTCGACATTACTGAAGTATATAATTTGAAAGTAAGTGCCGTGCAATGTGATTAACGTTGCTTTAACTCGGTTGGTTAAGATCGTTTTGCATTCGTGATATCCGCATTGATAGCTGCACGGTTCCCGACTCCTCGTCCTTCCCCCGCACCTCCGATTAGCACGGTTGGCTACGCACGGTGCGAAGGAAGTTCAATATATGTACGCACGTCTCGTAACAAACATAACTCTTGTACTGCTGCCATAGTGATGTAATGGCCAGCACTCTGGACTTGTAATCCGGCGGTCGTCAGTTTGATTCTATCTCCTGGCACGACCGTTTAAACAACGGTACCAGCTTCCTAACTCCCGCAGCCTCTGTCCACCCAGCGAGCTAACTTGTAGGCACCACAGCGAGTTGCTCGGCAGGTCCTGTGTGGTGGTGAGGTGAAGTGTGCGTACGCTCACTTCCAACGAGATATAATTCCACCGGAAACAATTACAGTCCCGCTTCATGACAACACTACTGGCGTAGTGAAGAAGACTGACGCGTTAACTCATTCGGAATGTTAACGTTGATAGTTTAATAATGCGTGTAATAACACAGTGGCTTATTCAAGGTGGTATTGATGGAAGGGTTAGAGTCAGGTTATCATAGGCAAGCTGTTTTTTTTTTCTTTCCAAAACATCACTGTGCCTCTGTGATTCACGTGGTCCTTGACGACAGACCTCATCAGTTCACATACCATCACTTCCGAATAAGTCCTTTGGAAGTCCTTGTGAAAAAATGCTGACATTCTTCTCCACGATTGCCTCTTGGGCACAATGATCATTGGAACATGACAAGGATTGAATATCACCACGTCTGGGATACTCTTGCGTACGGTGCAGGTTTTGCACGAACAATGCATGGACAGTATGTGCCTGAGTTATTGATTTCAGACAAACGTTGGATTGACTCAAACGGCGATGTAATGCACAAAGCAGGTTACTACATTTCGTGTTTTTTTTTCGGGTGGGCTCTCGAGTATTCACGTTAGATCTTCAAGTTTCAAGTTTCATTTATTAGGTATAGCCCTGTGAGCCAATGCGGCTCTTAAGTCGGGTGCAACCGCAACAAACAAAACATGAATCTACATTGCAGAAAACGATTACACCACAACCAGACCAAAATAAAGCTACAAAAACAATGTGACAACAGATCTCGTCTCTAACCTTGAGTCCATGATTCTGTATTAATCAGCCGAGTTTACTGGAGCAGTGAGCTGGCTGGAGATCGCCTTACGGCAGTTGCCGTCATCAAGATTGTTGCTCAGGAGTGGCGAATGTAGCCAGGTGGCTCAGTGGCTCACAATCGTCAAACCCTTTCTGTGGCACGTTGACTCGGCCAATCCCTTCAGGGTCCATACATGAGTACCGCTTTGTGGGGGAGGTCAACAGTGGTTGTTCCATGGATAGACTTAACCCTGCAGTGGGAATGTGGAATTTCCACCACTGGCTCGGGGCTGTAAACGGGAGATGAGCACCCCCTCCATGCCGATTTGAGCAGGAAATCACTTTTGTCTTGACCCTGCTCTCTCCCGGATAATTAGCATGAGCTGCATGAGACGGGAGCCACTGCTCCACGCACGTGGCACGTGATCAGCCTATTGCGGTGCGTTCGCTGTGCGCGAGTTTGATGGCGGGCCCCATAAAAGCGGCCTGTCAGGGACGCGCGTTACTCATGCGCTAATTACCCGTTTGTTGTGCAGCAATGGGCCGTGTAAATCTCGCCGCAGCTGTGAGCCGTGATGCAGAAATAGTTGAAAATGAGATTTTACAAATGCAGAAACGTAGGTATTCATTTTAATACTCATTTAGTCACTTATGCAGTTTCATCTTGTTTATGGATATATATTGGGCTGTGCGTTTCACATGGTGAAAAATATGGCCAAGTCTGTTTGTCTTCTGGTCACTGTATACCGTTTAGTTTTATAACAAATAACACTCGCATCCCCCGCGCAGGTCAGCATGTGACTGCTGTTCATGGTTAGGTGACCGAGACTTTAATGGAAATCGTATCTGGCCAAATCCATGCATTCGATTATTATGTATTATTCTTGTAATAATTGCGTACAGTGGTAGAATCGCTAATTCAGCACACAGACTGCTCGACCGAATCACCCTGGATGCACCGGTGATCCATCGGCATGCTAGAAGCTCAGCTGGGTTGAGCTTAGTTTGTTAAATGGTGGAACATGGCGATGATGTCAAGTGGGCCACATTCTTGAAAACTCTACATCAAGTCTGTCGTGTTGGTTTTCATTTTGAAAGCACAAGTACAAAACAAATGGACGCGTGAATATCACCTGCTAGGACTGGAAGTCATTCAGCTACACATGCGATACGGTATCTTAGAATTAAAAACAGTGCCAGTTATTACGATTATTTAAAGTAAAAATTTGGCAGAAGTTGGAATCCTGTGTTCATATCTGGGGTGGAGAACCCAGCTACTACGTCACTGCACTTGACAGAATTCACTGTAAAGCAGTCCTACTGTGTCTCTCTAGGCACTCGCTTCCTCACTCGGCGGGGGGCAGCCACCTCCTTATCACTCTTCTATCGCTACTACCATGGGTACTGTTCCTATGAACTTGACTCGTTGATTCCTCCAGATATTGACTCTTTAGTCTCATCCACATTGTGTGTTCAACCACCGCACTGCTGCTCAACAGCCTCCTCACTCACCCACGAACCCACACACTCACCACACTGCAAGTCACAACACTTGTCTCTCTTGCTCAACTGAAGAAACACGTTCACTCTTATCTGTTACAACTTCGATAGCGCTGATTCATAATTAATTGTTGCTTTTGGTCACCTAGCGATCGTGGCTAAAATGTGTGCCATTCAGAACCCTCCACGACCTGCCACAGCCAAACAAAGGTCTTTGGGCCTGCGCTTGGCAAGTGTGTTACAACAAAAATACCACCCCCCCCCCCACGTTCCAGTGCGAAACTTGAAACACACTTCAAGCGAAACGAGTTGGGAGCCGCGCGATTCACCCGACACGGTGAATGGTGCCCCGGTGGACGCTGTCTCACATGAGAGCGACTCGTCAAGTCTGGCTGAAGGAACGCGTGTGCATTGTGCATTGCATTCGTTTGATCTAATTTCCAGGGGCTTGCGCTTTACAAACATTGGAGCGTCTATTTGGGTTGCAGGGTGGTGCCGTGGTAACACTCGGGCCTCACCGCACGGAGAAGGGCCTGGGGTTCGATTCCTGACTCCAGCCGCCGTGCTGTGCGGAGTTTGTATGTTCTTCCCCCTGTGCCGCTTGGGTCTTCCCTGACTCCTCTTGTCTCCTTCTTATAGCTCGAAAAACACTCCATACAACGGACCGGTATTGGCCAAAATAATTACCAATGCGGACATTTATCTGCAATGTACTTGTTTGTGGTGACACACAGTAGCTGCAATATCGCCCGCAATTGCGAGAACTTGGCAGGATCCTCCTGAAAAGAGTATGGGGACCCAGTGAGACTTTCCTGGGTAACCAAGCAGAATAATAATAATAATAATAATTTATTTGTACAGTATTGTGTTGAAAGGTTTTACATTTCTCACCGGCATGTGTTTGGGATTTCGAAACGTCATGAGAGATTGAATGGCACCAGCTGGCTTTGTGATTTCTTTGGCATGTTTTTAAAACCTGGTTAAGATTATACACAGCTGCTTGGCCGGTGCTGTTTTACCAAACATTCCAAGCGCTGTTTGAACAGCGAGCCTAGATCTGCTCTGCAGTGCATATCGTAGTGCATATCGTGGTGCATATCGTGGTGTATATCAATGCAGAGTTAGATAGCAGTGCGATTGTATTGTCTTCCCATACCCCAATCGTGCTGCTTGTTAATAGCCTCACACGTGTGCTGGGGCACAACGATGTTGAGATGTTAACTACCTCGCCAGGTATACAGGAGGTCATGGGTTCGAACCCGACCCTGACGCCTGCTGCTGTATTTGTTCTCCCTGTGGTCTTATGGCTTTTTCTCCAGGTCCTCAAGTTTATCCCTCCACATTTAGAAACATGCATTTAGAGCATTTGGCGGCTATACATTTCCACATGATAATCCACATAACTGAAATATAATTTGAGGCCAGGTGGCTTCTGAAAAAGAGCGACATAGCTCAGTGGACCTTAACTGGTAAAACAAAAACAGTTAAAATGCTTTTAGCTCATATGATAAAATAAATGCGTCATGTTCTTACCCTATTAAATAATAATAGCTATCGATTTTTGTAGACATGTTTTTTGAAAGAATGTTATTAACCAACATATACAGGAAGAACTGCATTGATGGAAAATACGTAGCAATGACTAAAAAGCATGAATATAATTGATATTTTAGACAGTTTTTCACTCAGCCCATTTTATCAACGTGCTGTTTGTTGATTTGATGCCTCTAGATGACAGAACCATTTATCATCATGCAGTTTGCAATTGCGGGCAACAAGAGATTAGTTTTATTGTAACGTAGGCTCCCGGTCCCCGCTTGAAAATCGCCACAAATCATTTTCTTTGGTCACATTTCCCAATGCTGATGCTGTGTTTCGCCTCGATGGCCAGGGGGGTGGCCTGCTGATCTTGTGTGCAGGAGTCATTGCCGAGCGAATCGCTACGTAGCCCTTTCACCAACTACTCAGTCAGTGCCGTTATTGATCCTTCCAGTTAATGCGTGAAATGAACGACGATAGAAAGACAAGTTTCCTTTAATCCGCAATGATGGGCGGGGGCCTTGCACAAAGCCACAGATATGTTATTCCTAATAGATGGAGTAAAATTCCCCTGCTCCACAACTATTTTTCTACAGAAATTTGGAAATGGGAAAAATGTCCTGGCAGTACAGTGTACCACGGCCGGTTTTATTTTTCGAAGCTATTTTCACGGTAACATTAAAAGCGCGTTAATTAGACCTGACATTTTCCTGTGCGTATTTGGTTCGTACGCGGATTAACTGCGGTGCAATACAATATTCCCCCAAGGATAGCAAAGGAAATTCAACGATGATATGATTACATTTCTCAGCAGTGTTGCAGCTTGAGTGGATAACGAGTTCAACGGTGAAATAAACTGTGCGGTTCGAGTATAGATTTAATTATAAAGTATTTAATTAACCAGTGGCATATCAACAGCTGTTTAACCCAAGTGTAAAAACTGAAAAAAAAGGACCGTACACAAACCCCTGCTTTCATGGCTTTAAACTTTCTTTGAAAAGTATTCTCGCAATGTTTGGCTTAGCAGTGCCAAAGCAATTGCGCAATGTTATGTGAATGCTATATTATGCTAGATATTCTGAATGCTATGTATTTTTAAATATTATGAATAATACATTTGAAATACGGCACTCCTGAATACGTTTCCATTGATGCAAAGCAGTTTAAAAATCGTGATCCAGTGTGATAGGCACTGCAGAATAACAAAGCACATTTGAGGTCTTATAGTGTACAAGATCATTGCTTTTGCAAACACGAATATAAAAATAAAATCCTCTAACCCAAGGCAGTTAAATATTGGTGTTTTTGGCTCACATTAAAAACGGTGAATTGCTTTCGGTTAAAGGCATTATTTTATCGCTTTTACAAAAACAGTACCCGTTTAATTTATCTCCCAGCTGATATGATGATTTATAATTTATTCATAATTCATTTACAGTAATCTGGCCAACACTGTGACTTCAGGAACCCTCCACCACCCGACACAAACAATTGGATTGCCACGTTTACGAGCGTAGAACGACGCACAAATGAATTATAATCGTTTTGTTCAGCTCACGTCTTGGCCAGAGTTAGCGGTGAAATCCGCCGCGTTCCGCTCGAGACTACGTCAATACGTTATCGTGACAAAATCTAGGAAGTCGCGACAGGGGCTCCCAACAGACATTGCATGCTCACTCGGATGCCTGGTGGTAAACTCAACTGTCAGGTTTTGATGCGTCGGCCAGCTAAGCAATCACGCAAAAGTGGGCCCATGTCGCGTGAGTGGGACGTGACCTGGCTCTGTTATGTTCAAGTTCGCCATTGGCACTTCTCAAATTCGGGAGGATGCTCGTTATTATGGATTATATTTAATCCGCCTGAGGACGACCACTTGTGTTGCGATCGAAACCTCGTGATTTATTTTCTTCCTACGTAACTTTACCGAAAGAACCGAAGAGTATGGATTCCTGCAGTCACGAAAGCTTCCAATCAAGAGTATGAAGATTGTTTTTCCCAGACGGCCGAGTCTCGAGAATGTGGTCGTGCTGGAGTGTTTTCGCTTCATGTGAGAGGGGGAGAGCTGAGAAAGTGCCAGGAGAAACCCCGCATCTCTGTTGTGTCGAGAATTAATTACCGTTCGTAAATCACGCTCACGACAAAGGCAGAGCGTTTCGCTGCTAAAAATCAAGTCGATAAAATTACGCGTGCGTAAATACGATCTCTATAAATGTGTTAGGTAACAAAAACGTGATGGATGTGCTCATAGGTGGGGTCTCAGGCTATGAATAAAGAGTTAAAAAATTTCACGCGCACCACCGATTAGCACGGTTGGCTACGTACGGTGCGAAAGGAGTTCAACGTGCGTACACGCGCAACGCGCGCGGAGTATGTGACTGTCGGTAGGGCGGCAGCGGGGAAGCCCAAGCGCTGCGTCTCCTCCCCGTGAGGACTCCCACGAGAACTCCCGCGACACTGCCCCAAGTCCATGAATAATGACCTCGCCTTCCGTGCGTGCACTTCAACCTCCACTGTTGTACCTCGTCAAAACCGTTTGTTCAAAGTGTATTTTTTGACTACATGTTGTTGTTGTTATTATTATTATCACCGTTTCAAAGTGGAATTGTAATTAAAAAAAAAACACACGAGCCAAAATGTTTTTTTTTTCACGTCATAGAAATGTGGAATTTCCACCGCTCACTCTGCAGGGCTGTTAACGGGAGATCAGCTCCGTGACGTCAACACTCATTTGAGCAGATCAGCTCCGTGACGTCAACACTCATGTGAGCAGCAGGAGTTGGGCGGATGTTGAGTAACTGTGGCGTGACGTGGTGCGGTGACTGGTGTGGTGCGTTGTCACGTGGTGTGACGCGTGCTTTGACGCGCGCTGCCCTCGCTGCAGGACTACGTGGAAGCTCTCAACGGGGTGTGCTCGGAGGGCCTCAAGGGGATGCTTTTTCTGGCGCTCTTCTCCATCGTCTCGGCCCTCATGTTCAACAGCGTCATCTGCATCGCCCCGAAAACCTGGCGCAACTTCCGCAAGAGGTGAGCCCCGCTATCGGAATCCTGCACCACGGCAGTGCTCGTTTCTCACTCGCAGCCCTGTTAGACACTGGTAGATGTTCCACATTCCTATGAGGGAGGGGGGAGGGGGGGGGCGGGATGAGGGGCAAGTGTGCCCATAGGCACACATACGGATGATCGGCCGAGTCGGCCCCAACCGCTCTTTGAGCTCCGCTTTGCTAGCCGCTCCGCAAGGCTGCGAGGAGGAGGAGGAGGAGGAGGAGGCGAGCGCCGCCCTCTCTGTGAGCCCGTACGAGGGGCGTCGCATCCACTGAGCCCGCGCGATCCACCAACCCCCAGCTCGCGGGGCATCCGTCGCGCCACCGTGCTTGCCCGGCACGGGCTCGGCGGCGGCGGCGGCGGCGGTGACGGCACGGTGACGGCACGGTGACGGCACGGTGACGGCATGGTGACGGCACGGTGACGGCACGGTGACGGCACGGTGACGGCACGGTGACGGCACGGTGACGGCACGGTGACGGCACGGTGACGGCACGCGTGGCGCTCTTGCATGTGGGCAGCACTTTGCTCGTGCGGTTCTCTCGCCGCTGGTGGCTGCTCGGGGTCAACTAAGCGAGGCGCGTGCTTTACCGTCTACAAATAACGTGGAATTCCGAAAAGACTCAGGTGCTGATTTACGTGAAATCGTTAACGGTCCTTTCCGTCGTAATTCGTTTTGGTCTTCAAGGATAAGGAAGCTTTCCTGGGCTGATGATGCAGCTTCTTACCGCTGCAAATTACTCAATTGGGATCGCACAGCAGCAGCAGCAGCAGCATCGGCCCCGACTGCTACAAGTTGGCAGGACTCTCTTGAACAAGAGCCATGGGACTCGGAGAGGCTTTCCTTTGTAAACAAGCGGAATAACAAGTAATGACATTGACAAGGCCACGTAGGTTGTCCACACACTGCTTGGGAAGCGCTCGTTTCAGTCCACGCACGGGGGAATTCCGCTGCAGTTTGTGGAGTTAGCAGTGGAGTAAGCCTGACACGGACAGCGTGGACCATGCATTAGAGCAGCAGCAGCAGCAGCACAGCAGGAGTGTGAAGTAGAGGGGCTCGTGACTCTTCACCATTGTTTCTACCATGACATTGAGCCGGGAGCAAACTCAAATTACCGCACTCTGGTCACTGACTCGTGATTTTAACGGCCTGCTTGGGCAACGTGTACCTTGGGTCCTGTGTTTCGGAGCAGAACGGTCACAGCAGTGCCGCTTGGACATTCGCTTTCTTTCAGAATTGACGATAAACACGTGAGCCAGGCCAGGGCTGTAAACTCCGACCGCATGTCTGCCCGTGCAAGGGTTGACGCACGGGGCATCGTGCACTGACTGGGGCGGCACAGTGGCTACTGCTCGCTCGCTCGCTGCTGCTGCTGCCACCTTTGAGGAGGAAAGACGGTGGTGGTGGTGGTGGTGGTGGTTCTGGTCGTATGGTCCCCGCAGGGAGAGGCAGTATGAGGACATGGATGAGGATGAGCCGTGCCGGCAGCCGCCAGGAAGCACACGCCGCCCGCCACTGCCGAGCTTCTACAGTTACAGCAGCTTCGGCAGCCAGACGAGCATTCAGCCTACCTCCCAGTCCATCACCAATGCGCCCGTCTCCGAATACGTGTGAGTGCGCAAAGCCATTGGCCTGCCCTGCCCCGCTACGTGCCCAGCCGGTGCCGTGTCCTCACGGAGGGCGACTCTCCCTCTTCCCGACTCCTCCCCCCCCCCCTCATCATCACCTGAGTTGTGTGTGTTTTAAGTCAAATGTACCCCCACCCACCTTCTCCCCTCCTCCCCCCCCCCAAAAAAAAAATATTCAGAGTTTGTGCCCAAATCTCAGAAGCTGCCCACTTATTCGTGCGGGAATGTAGAAGGGCTTGGCAGTGTTCAGGAGAATGCCTTGCAGGCTGGGGACGAATGCAAACCACAACACGCACGGAGACGTGTGACTGCAAACAGCCACGTGTCCAACTCTTTGAGATTGGTCGTCTTAACGATAATGCGGCCCTTTTGTGGCCGATGGTCTGGACAAGGCTGAGGAGCATTGTGCGGGCGATGTGGCAGTCACACGGTTAGCCGCCGCGTGACGTGACAAGGGCCTTGCGGCTGTGAGCAGCACACACCTTTGTTTGCGCGGCAAGGCGTTTACCCCTGGGATGTTAATTATTATTCTTCTTCTTCTTGTTGTTGTTGTAATCGAGCTGAACGGCTCCAGCTGGAGCCCCGGCATCTGCTGCCCTCCTCAAAGCTGGGGTGGCTCTGTCTCGTCTCGTCTGCTCCACATCCAAACATTTGATAGCATGCCACTGATAACGAAACCATTTATCGCCCTATTGCTCGGAGAGCTCTAACTTGTTTGATGGCTGGAGCGGCAAAGAGGATAACATTTGTGTAAGGTTAATTTAGCGGGCCATTGTTATCAAAATTCAATGCTGAAATTGCTCTTTTGGAATGACTTCTAAATGTGATTTATGTCCCCGTAGAGAAAGAAAGAGTCATTGTGTCTGTGGACAATATTTTTTTTTACATTTAATTTGAATCTTTGAAGAGTTCCCTGTAAGTACGAAATGTAATTATAAATTGCATTATATTAACAATACAGCTTTTTCTATTCTGGAGCAAGTCACAGCAAACATTCAATGAGTTACATTTTTTATATCATCAAATTGACGTTGAACTCAAACGAATGCATCTAACTTAAAAAGTTAACAAGAATTCTATCTGCATGCCATATAATTTACCTTCGAAGTAAACATTTTTTCTCACTGTTCATTTTAACTTGGTAAACAAACGCACATTAAGAAGCATGAGCTGTTTGTGCACTTTAAATGTCTAAATCATTGTCGTGCGACTAGCTTGTCTGTGGACAATATGTTAATTTTTAACTTGTTCATACATTTGCGTCCGTTAAAAGCAATTAAAGTGTCCGTGCATGTTATGTTTGATTTGCGGTGGTGAAAAAAGAATTAATTAACAATCTCCATTTCTGCGTGTGAAATTATACTTTGAGGCACTTGCATGTCTGTGCTGTTATTGTGCATCACCACTCAGTCCTCCATTATGCGTGACTCCTGTGACAGCTTCAAAGAAGCCAACTGAATGCTCTCATCGTCTCTAAAATACTGATTCAGTATAATTGGGTTATACATTGTCTGGCATATGCATTGGCCTTGGAAAGAACGATTAAGATGGTGATTTGTGGCTAATGGACTGATGGCACTAGTGAATGCACATTTATGAAGTGTGACAATGTGACCTGGAATGTTAATGCATTCCAGGTCACATTATACACGAGCATAATAGAAACGGAAAAACTAGTGATAAAGCAAACCGATTACTGGCAGTCCCCATGAGCCAATAGGTTATAGGGGTGTGTTCTAGAGTTTGGAGCATCGCACTTTTTTCTCAATGAAATGGTGTTTAAAACATTCCCACCTAAATTGCTGAGGAATGTCACCGTGGCGTGGACCATCTGGTTAGAAAAGGGTCAAAGCCATTCATTCCATTGCTGTGGGGGTAACAGCAGCATTCATGCTACCGTGACCCTTCACCTCTTCCCAAATGGTTGTGGCAAATGACAAGGAAGGTCCCCTTTTTTAAAAATACTAAGTTACATGTTTACATTTCGCAAAATAAAATTAACAACCCATTGCATAAGACGTCCGCACGTAATATCACCACCGGCAAAAAACGCACATCGCAAAATCGCCATCACGTGAAAACAGGAAAGATAGCAGCACAAGGCAAGTGGTCTCAGTCTGGCTTAACGGACACACGGCCACGGCACCAGTCTTGTATTCCCTAATCCTTCCATGTGATGGCTTCAACAAGGCTGCCCATGCAGCTCCAGAGCAATTAACATAAAATCAGCTCAATATGTCCCAGATGTTCCACTTTGATCGTTCCCAACGCATCTCTCCTCCAGTACGCCAGGGTTCGGAGAGAGACGAATTAATCCGTTGTCAGTGTGAGGGAGATCGCTCCCTCCGGCCACCCCACCCCACCAGCGGCAAGTCACGTGGGAACCGGCCGGGCCTCTCTGTGCATGGGATGCGTGGGAACACGCAGCCACGTGCATTTGCATGCAGATGAGGGTGACCCCCGCAGACGCTCAAACGTGACCTCTGCCCCCTCCCCCCCCCTACTCTCTGTTTCCTTTCTAAGTTTCCCCTTGAACGAAGCATGGCCCTTTCTATTCTCAGTCTGTGGCTTTCTCTGCGTGGCCGTCTGTGGCTCAAGGCTTCCCCTTTTTCTGCGAATTGTAAAGCGCCTGAACAATGGTGGCTTAAGATGGTTTTGTCTCGCAGCTAGAGCATTGTGCGAATTGTTATGCTAAAAAAAGTCTGTGCTAGAATAATAATGTAGGGCTGAGGACAGGGCTTAATTTTCCCCCAAGTTCACATCACGATTTCCAAGCATGTTTCATAATTGCAAGAGGAAATGAACTGTGATTAGAGGCAGAAATCTCACGAAATGCACATGACGGTATGTGTTTTGCACACGGCTCTATCTGCATACTCAATGAAGTGTGTGAACGTCTTACATGTATGAATACACGTGGCAGAAATACGTCGTGTAAATAGCTGTTATGAAGGTAAAATAAATCACAAATAGGTCATTACCGTCTACTGCACACTTATTTAGTTCTCAAAGAAGTATTTTACGATGCTATAATTAATAACCCGATTGATATTTCTTGCGATTTGTTTTTAGTTCCCCAGGCTGTGTGGCTCTTGCCCTGAGGCGCCATTGTGGCAGGTTATCCCAGGTTTCAATCGGTGACCGCAAGCGCAGGCAAGGGCCTGGGTTTCAGCCTCTACTCTTATCCCTGAGCACTTGCTTGGCCCTGCTGGAGTTGAGCTTGAAGGCGAACAACCCTTCTGCACAGCTGCAGCGCCCATTCCACCAGATGGCTTCAAAGCTTATGTAAATAACACAACACCATCAGTCGCCTCGCTGCGGAAACATAAAAGTAACACAAATAAGCAGACAAAAAGCACCTCCACATATCTGTTCCTCCATATACAAAATGAAAGTGTATTTTTGTCACAATAGATATTTTTTTGGGGTTAGATCGCGTAAATATAAATGTGTTGTTGAACCCACCACCACAATTAGTAAGGTTTGTGACATAAACAAAATATGCAAATTCGTTACTAGTACAGCACACAGGTGTGTTGGAGAGTAAACCCACAACATTTACATCTAACCCAAAAACCTCTATTATGGATATTGGTCGCGAAATCCTATGTGTCAAACTGGTTCTTTTTTTTACACATTCAGCCACATGGCCTCCTGGGGGAGTGAATAATGTTAGCAACGTCAGTCTCAACACACGCAAACTTTGAGACCGGTTTCAAGGCAAGCATGTCGTGTGTGGCTTGTGTAAAACACTGACTTTACGTGGAGGCACAGCTATGTGAATGGGGCGGATATAGAGCTGTGTTCCAGTTGGACTGCGAGCCAGGAGCGTAAATGAACCCACAGAGCATTTACGTGCTGTGTGGGACCGAACGGTTCACAATGGACAGCCGCCGGTTTGAGCGACGCAGAGCAGTCAAATGCCAAGTGCAATTTCTCTGCATTTAATATTCATTTGTGATTACGACGCCACTTTCGCGGTGGTGGAGGCCGAGCATGGAACATCTGAAAATTATTTGCTCGACCTTTTTATGTTGCTTTTGTGATATGCTCAATATGCGGTGCGCAGCAACGTTCAGCGCGCCACTCCGTAGGGTTTCACGGTCGCGCTGCGCGAGCTCTCCGATGCGTTCTCGGGTTCATACCGCTTCGTGTTGTTCGGCACGATGTCCGACGTTTCGCTCCACGTGCCGGGAGCTCCCTCAGGAATTGAACCGAGCTGCTCTTGACCGCACGGTCCAATCGGGAGACGCGCTAGGGATGCATTAGAGGGAGCTTGGACCCTCCTCGTGGTCATGAACCGAGGGACCCGATGGATCGGAGGCATTGCGACCCCGATTGAGACTGTTGGCCGATCCTACGTCGGATCGTGACCAAGAGGTCTCCCGTGGTGGAACTCCGTGTCTCGCCAGCCACGGACCGCTCGCCATGGCGATCGCTGAGGCCATGACAAACTAACTGGAGACACCAATAAGCATCCTATGTACCCCACATTGATGTCTAAGTGTTCCCCTAGTTGTCTCCTATCAACCCCTAACATTCCCACAGTCACGCACGCAGGCTCAGTCACAGGCTCGCAGTCACATACGCAGGCTCAGTCACAGGCTCGCAGTCACAGACGCAGGCTCACAGTCACAGGCTCACAGTCACAGGGTCACAGTCACAGGCTCACAGTCACAGGGTCACAGTCACAGGGTCACAGTCACAGGGTCACAGTCACAGTCTCACAGTCACAAGCTCACAGTCACAGGGTCACAGTCACAGGCTCACAGTCACAGGGTCACAGTCACAGGGTCACAGTCACAGTCTCACAGTCACAAGCTCACAGTCACAGGCTCACAGTCACAGGCTCACAGTCACAGGCTCACAGACACACACGCAGGCTAACAGTCACAGGCTCACAGGCTCACAGTCACAGGCTCACAGACACAGGCTCACAGTCACAGGCTCACAGACGCAGGCTCACAGTCAGTCTCACAGTCACAGGCTCGCAGACACAGGCTCGCAGTCACAGGCTCGCAGTCACAGTCACAGGCTCACAGTCACAGGCTCACAGTCACAGGCTCACAGTCACAGGCTCACAGTCACAGGCTCGCAGTCACAGGCTCGCAGTCACAGGCTCGCAGTCACAGGCTCACAGTCACAGGCTCACAGTCACACATGGACAGCGCTGTCTGACAAAATGTCCTGGGCCACGGTCCCAGCTCGTCGAGCTCTCTCCCCCGGTGATCCTGCGACCACCGTGCGGAGCCGTGAGCCGGCAGGCTCGTTGAAGAGAGCTCCATGGTCCCACGCTCCGAGCTGAGGTTGGGGGGGTGGGCCGCCCCCCTCCCCCATGCGACGCCCCCGCTGCCACGTTCACGTGCCGTGTGCTCTGTTTTCCGCGCAGGAATCAGAACACGGCCTCGGGTAACAATCCCAGGCACGAGAACGTGCCGTTGATCGGACGCAATTCTCCTCCGCCCTCCGTAAGTGACGATCAGGGGGGCACCTGTGAGTTTCTCCATCGGACTCCCCTGGTCAGTTTCATTTTAGAAAAAAAATAATTACGCTCCTGTGGACCGGACAGAGCGGAGCAGTCAGCCCTCCAGAGAGCATTGCCTGCTGCCTTCTGAGCTATGGAGGTCGGGACAGTGTTTCACCAGGATTGTGTTTGTCGAATTAAAAGGAGCAAATACATGGGTGTTTGAGTGGGTAATTGGTTGTTTTGGATTGGATCGTGAAAGTATGATGTCCCTGTTTTAACTATGACCCTCCACCACCCGACAGAACCATTCACGATCTCACCCAAAACTAATTATGAATTATAATGTTGGATGTGAAAGCCTGCACATGAAAGTCTACTCACTTAACTCAAGTTCGATATCAGTTTTCGATGTTCCTACCCATATCATCCAACAGCCGAATAGAATCCCTCTGTTCGGAGTTCAGTGCTGTGCACAGTCTGTGCTACTGGCGGCACTTTGGTTGTACAGGGACATGCACAGTTTCATGCTTGCGGATTCATTTTTCATCACACTCAGTCCATTTTTTTATTTAAAAAAAAACCCCATTATATTCTTGGTTCTTTCGGTAAAGTCACGTAGAAGGGAAACAATAAAATAGTAAAAATATAAAGCAATGAAATGTTTTAATTACTTTATTGTTTCCGTTCTACGTGACTTTACCGAAAGAACCAAGAATATGAATCCCTGCAGTCACACGAAAGTTCTGAATTAAAAAAAAAAACATCGTCACAATCGCCAATTCGTATTTTAATCAAGAACGGCGTTTAATTGCGTCAACGTTGCCCAATTACGATGTCGTCCACGGGCGACGGACGTTACCCAACGCAATCCTCATTGTCCACAACGTGGCTTTAGCCGCTTCGTCTCCATTGCGAGAAGCGAATCCTTAACCAGCCCGCGGCTCTCCCTTCGGGGGCACTCGCAGGCCTTGGCATCCTTCTTCACCCTCGTCGCCGCCACATTACCGACGGGCACATCGCATCAAAGTGTGACATTCGAGGCGTTGTGATTTCTTTGATTATTCTTTTTTTTGTTGTTGTTGTTCCACCCGCGCTCTTTATTTGCTTTGCTCACGGCCTTTGGTTTCTTCCTCCCCGGCGCGCACAACTCGGGCAGCGGTGTCCGAGCCGCGCCACCTCGGGGCGAAGCCGCAGCCGGCAATCAAACGGCTGGGAGACCGTTAAAGTAATGGAGGAGCGCTTTTAGCTCAGACTCGTGTCTCCTCCTTCTCCTCTTCATCGTCGTGCCCAGAGCCCAGGTACCAGTCACGGCCACCCCTCCTGCAGTGAATTCCAACCCTCACCCCTTGGGTGTTGTTCAGCAGTTGTCGCCGTGCTCCCCTGTTCCGTGTCGGGTTACTCTGGCGTGAACTACCGCGTGCCGTAAACAAGCCACGTGTCCAATCTTGACTTAAAGCTTTCGTGACTGCAGGAATTCGTGTTCTTTGGGTCTTTCGGTAAAGTCGCGTAGATAGGTTTCAAAGAAGATAACAAGCAACTACGACGTTTAGATCGCTTGTGTTGCGATCGAAACGTCGTAGTTTTTTGTTATGTTCTTTGAACCTTTCTACGTGACTTTACCGAAAGCACCAAAGAATAAGCCACGTGTTCATAATGAACGCCGGTTGAACAAAGCCTCGATGACGGACATTTAAAGATGTCTCAAAACGCAACGTCACAGGGGTTGCCATGATTATTCCCAACCCGTTCGCCGCCAACGCCACACGACCAATCGGGGAAGGCCACCAGAGTTTAAATGCATGCCCTCTCCCCTGGATGTGATCGGACCCTTCACAACAGTTCCTTTCCAAATGCAATTCCTTTCTCCAAACCTCCTGAACGTGGACTTGTTGCGTGCGGTAACATTTCCGCTGTTTTTCACGTTCACGACCCTTTGCCTTCTTCCGTTTCCATTTGCTCATTCGCTTCTCGCTATTTGCTGTCCTCTCGCCTTTTTTTCTTCTTCATCTTCTCTCTCCCCATCTACTAAAAAGCGAGTGTTGTGACCCATGCAGAGATATCATTACACACGTTGTGCTCAGGCTGAATGTTTCCCAGTGATGCCAAACGGTGGAAACATTTATCATAAATCCCTCACTCGAAATGAGTAACAGTGATTTAGAAAAAAACTAAAACAGTTGCTCAGCACAGGCCCGCAGACGCAAAACGTCCAACGCCCAGCAACAACCAGCACTATCAAAGTTGTAGTGTAACACGTTTCTTTAATTGAGCAATGCCATTCATTATAAGAGTTTTGAGAACAGAGAAGATAACGGGAGGAGGAAATTCCAAAGTGTAGCAGTGAAAAGGAAGAAGCAGAAAAATGTGTCGTGACCTGCAGTGTGGTGGGTGGGTGAGTGAGTGGGTGGGTAGGTGCGTGGGGGTGGGTGGGTGAGTGGGTGCGTGAGTGGGTGGGTGAGTGCTTGAGTGGGTGGGTGAGTGAGTGGATGGTTGGGTGAATGAGTAAGTGCATGGTTGGGTGAGTCAGTGGATGAGTGAGTGGGTGGGTTGGTAAGTGAGTGAGTGGGTGAGTGACTGGGTGAGTGGGTGAGTGAGTGGGTGGGTGAGTGAGTGAGTAGGTGAGTGGGTGGGTGAGTGAGTGGGTTGGTGAGTGAGTGGGTGGGTGAGTGAGTGAGTGGGTGAGTGAGTGGTTGCGTGAGTGAATTGGTGGGTGGGTGAGTGGGTAAGTGAATGTATTGTTGTGACCTGGAGTGTGATTGAACACTGTGTGGATGAGAGATGAAACAGTCAGACTGATAGGCCGAGTCCTCAACAAGGGGGGACGAATCAATGATAGAAGTTTACGGGAGCAGTTACCACTTTAATTGATAAGCATAATCAAGTTCAACATCCATATGCAGATATATTTTTTTTAAATATCAGTAAATGGGCCTGAATACTCTGGCAAAAATAGAATTTAGATTATCCCTAATTATTTGTGGTTATTTTATAATAAGCGACAATTTATTGTCACGTGTGAAACATACATTTATATGACCGTGAATAATAGGGCCTTGCTGGACACCATTCGACTTTTGTTGGTTTTAAACTTTCCAATGTGGTTACTGTAATACAGCAAATGTAAGATAATTATCTCACGGTGGTGTGAAACGCTCGGTGAGTACTATGCAAACAAGATTTACACGTTGCACATTTCCGAGTGCAAGCAGTAATTATATAAATATTTGTTTTAGTTTAAACCTTTAAAGTAAGTGCCTGTATACGAACGGCAACATGCATGTCTGGGCAGTGTTTTGTGAGATGGTAGTACACGTGAAAAATGTCCTCTCGGCTACACAAAACTAATTATTTGGCGACACTGCTGCTACATTTGCGTCGGTGCACAAGTACACATAACAAGAATAACTCAACACATTCGTCAGTAAGACCGTGACTGTGAAAGGACAAATATTTAATAGGTGACGTTTACAACAATGGCCATGCTTCACCAACACATACAGATGCCAGAGAGATCAGAGTTGGGCCCTGAAGAGAGCTGCACTTTAAAGTTTGTTTTCTGATGAGCAGTTTATGAATGGGTATGTGCATTATAACCTCACAGCAGCTAATTGTCAACATACTAACCTTTGTTGTCTACACTGGTAGCATACAGCTTGGCTCGGCCACACGTGAGCTACAGTCGTTGATTCATTAAGTCACGCAGCTGTCCACATTTTCAACATTTTAAAGTTGCATTCATAATTGTTGCTTGCTCAAGGGTCAGGACTCAGGGATCAGCGATGAATTGATTCGTGTCGACGTTTAAGCTGAACGATGCACGCAACCAAATGTTTTGAAAAGCAGTGAGACGTTTCGTCCGCGTTCTATGTCATTCATGTTAGAGCAAGGATCGAGTCTCGTAAATGAAGGGGTTTTTTTTCTTCTCATTTTCATTTATTAGGTAGAGCCCTGTGAGCCATGAGGCTCTCGGCTCGGGTGCAACGGCAACAAACAAAAACATGAACAAAGAACATCTTAAAGTGACGAGGCGCAACAGAAACATCCAGGAAAAAAAACAGTGAAATCTTCCAGAGAAAAGCACCGCATATCAACGCTGTATGCAAAAATCCCAATAGGATGCAAGTCGAACAATAATAACCATAAGACAATGTAGATAAAGTTATCAGGCTAATATCTTGATTTGAAGCTTTCGTGACTGCACTTGACTCCATTGAGCCGGGTGCTGCTGCGGGGTCCACTTTCTGCCCTGCCCCCCCCTACTGCCGGGGCCGACTCTATAACCTCGTGCCACGGCAGATCTCTGGCCTACTTCAGCAGTTTTGTTCTTGCTGTGGTTGTCCCACCTGATGACGATTGCTTGTGTTGCGATCGAAACGTCACGTGATCTATTATTTATCAGGCTAACTCTGTACTTCAACAAACAAACATGGCTTAAATTTCGATTTAAAGCTTTCGTGACTGCAATGATTAATCTTTTCTTTCGGTAAAGTCACGTAGAATGAGAATAAAATAATAAATTGATAAAATAAAATAACATAACACAATAATATTCTCACGACGTTTCGGCCACAGCGCTGTCCTACCAGACAGTCTCGTCCCTTCACCTGATGAAGGCCCCTTGTGTTGTGGCCGAAACGTCGTGAGAATATTATTGTGTTATGTTATTTTATATGATCAATTTATTATTTTATGCTCATTCTACGTGACTTTACCGAAAGAACCAAAGAAGATGAAACATGGCTTAACCAATAGTTTTCGAATGTCACCAAAATAAAGCTATGAAAACAATGTAACATTCGATCATAGGAATTGTGATTAAAATTTTAACAATAAACGATATACATAACATGTACGACCAAACTTTGCAGCCATAGCTGGCAGCATGAGTCACTCCATAACAGCAGGAGGATCAGTAGCAGAATTATTTTTTCAATGCACCTTTAAAGACAAGCACACAATAATCGAAACTCAAGATCATACTTTGCAGCGGACATCCAGAGCGGTGCATTTGATTTCAGGCCACTCTGCATAGCAGTGGCAGTTAGTGGTGTACAGCTCCTCAAGAGCAGTTTTGAGTGCAGTTCTCACAGGTAGTGGATCCAAGTTGCAGTTTATTGGCGATAGCATTCCAGACCCTGGGGGCATCAACAGCAAAGGACCTTCCTCCAGTATTTGTACGGCAATAAGGAATGTGAAGCTGGTAAATGAGCGAAGAACTTAGGTCACATTTGTTCTTCGAAACAGTGAGGAGATCCAGCAGGTAGTCTGCTGATTTTTTTTCTAAGTACATCGTGAATAAATAAGATCTGATGCACAAGCCGTCGTGTAACCTGCATCGCCTGTCGGTAGCCGGAGGAGGTAAACCATTCCACCGCTAATTTCCACGATAATTCTCACGACATGGACCTGACATTCATCACTTTACCCTCTTGTCACGAAATTCTTTGTGGCCACAGGCAGGAGGAGTGGGTGGGAGGTTGCGGGGTGTGGAGTGGGTGGGGGGTGTGGAGTGGGTGGGGGGTGTGGAGTGGGTGGGGGGGTGGAGTAGGTGGGGGGTGTGGAGTGGGTGGGGGTGTGGAGTGGGTGGGGCGTGGGGAGTGGGTGGGGGGTGGGGCGTGGGTGGGGGGTCGGTGGGGAGTGGGTGGGGGGTGGGGCGTGGGTGGGGGGGTGGGGAGTGGGTGGGGAGTGGGGAGTGGGTGGGGGGTCGGTGGGGAGTGGGTGGGGTGTGTGGAGTGGGTGGGGGGTGGGGAGTGTGAAGTCGGTGGGGAGTGGGTGGGGGGTGGGGAGTGGGTGGGGGGTGTGGAGTGGGTGGGGGTGTGGAATGGGTGGGGTGTGTGGAAGGGGAGGGGGGTGGGTGGGGAGTGGGTGGGGGCCATCATCCCCTCCTCCACCCATCCTTTAGGGTCTGTGCTGTAGTGATCCCTTGAGGTATATTTCGTCTTCCAAAGGGACACCCCCCCCCCCCCGCCATTAATAATAATTAGCAGCTGACGTCATTCCACATGGGGGGGGGGCGAGGCGCCTCCTCCCCCCTCCTCACAACCCTCACTACAAAGGCAGAACCCTCACGTCACGTGATCTCCGTAACGCTATTGAGACATCAAAGTAAAAAGGACGTCTTGATGAACAAAGGATTATAACCTTAACATGAACTAGGTCTGTGTCACCGCGCCCTTACTAATTGCACACGAATGGATGCAATTAATATATCACGTCGCGGTCTGCTTTTCGCTTGCAAGTTTCAGATTTACTGAAATACACCCGTCCCTGGACGGGCAAAAGGCGAGCATTCTGATATTTGTCATGAAGGCAATTAAGCTTAATACCTCTCTGCCAAGCAAGCATATCTTTGTCTTGTTCTTCTTACGGCGATTCAGTTACCGTGCGGAACATCACGTGATCAATATGCCGATGTTACTTAGTACGAACATTATTTCGCTTTGTGGAAACGTATTTTGTATCCCAGGGTAATTAGAACATAATTCAGTCCCTAAATTAATAATAAATAAACACAACTCTTATGCAGCAAGATCCGAATATTTATTTATACTGGAGGAATCTGATGAGCTATCAAGCTCTTTTTTTTTTTAAACAGACGTCCAATAGGTCGTCACAGGCTCGCAGCAGGGCTCTTTCGGGACATCTCTCAGTGCTGCGTTCACTCACGACGGCGATGCTCATGTGCAGCGACGTTGCGTGATGCGTGAGCACGTGGGAGCCACGTGCCACAACACGGAACAGATTCTGAGCCACGCTGCAGCGACGTGCACGGCACGCGTTCTGTAAAACTCCGCCAGCAGTTGGAGCGGTGCAGCTCGCTGCAAGTCGACGGGCATGCACGGCCCGGTGTCGCACGGCAGGGCCGTGGGTGGTTACCCATGGCTCCGCATCGCTGAAGGCCGGGCACTGCTCACAACGTGCCGGACATTCACGGCACACCCCGCTCCCGCAGCACTCGGCCTCCGCATCGACGCAGAACGGGGCCTGCGCATCAACCTGCCCCGCGCCCAGAGGCATGACGCCGTTTAAAAGTAAAAAAAAAAATGTTCCTGGGTAGTAAGTGTTGTTTTTTTTTAATTGCTTATACCTAAAAAGTATAGGAAATGGCTATTAATCCCCCCACAAAATTGTGCTTTTGTGACCAGGACTTTATGTGAACGCAAGACACACATGCGCACGTTTTCTCATTGAAAATAGGTCAATTTCAAAATATCACTGTCCTGGTCACAAAGGCAAAGTTTGTCGGGGGAAAAATAGCCATTTTCTGTACCTTTGAGGCATAAGCAATTTGGAAATAACACTTACTACCCAGGAACACATTTTTTTTTGTTACACAGCGCCATCAGAGCGGCTGATTGGCACGTGGCAGCGACTGTGCACAGTGATGGCAGCATAGCGAGATTTTCATCCAGCAAGTGGAATGAGAATAGTTGTCGATGATCAACGATTTAGCCGTCGTCTAAAGCTGCCTCTTACCATGTGCTCCATCGTCGGAGCCATGGGAGTAGAGAGTCCAGTCGCCTTAAGTCACAAAACAAACATGAGTGTGACCGTTTAGCGATAGTTCATTGTTTAAAAAAAAAAGCAAAGAAAACGCACGTTCAAATTAGTTTCTGATAAAATTGTGTCTTGTTCTACTGTTCCATCAACAGTTTAAGATTACTAACGGGTGATAATCGAGCAGATTTCACGCTTGGAAATCTCATTCCTCAACATCTTGAATTCGTGCTCTCAAAGGATTCGCTCTTCCAGTCACGGCGGTTAAACTGCCTCAAACGAAACGTAATGATATACACATACATTTACATTGAAGTGATCACAGTGTAGCTTGTAGTCTCATAACACAGGAGTCATTGAAACATTGACAACAAAGAGAAACTGCAAAGCATTGCCTTGAAGAGATTTCCTGCAATTTTGACTGTCAATTAAACGCGAGGAAGACTGCGTTGCATCGACCCATATATCATTGTCAAGCGTTCTGCACAAGCTTTGTGCACTCTGTAACGTTGATAATCTGTCCTCTTTATTTCCAATCAATTTGACCTTTGGCTTTTACGAACGCTGTTTGCACTTTTCATCAAGCATGGCAGAGTCCTGTATTTTAATAATTTGCCGAGACTCAAGCTCGTGAGGGCTTCCGTCGTAGGCAGGTTCGCCAAGTTGAATAGATCTCCACTTCACACGATGCCTCTCTCAGAGGAGGAGGCTCATGTATGCAGTGACGGAGGAAAGTTGTTCTTTGAACGTCCAAAACTTCAAAAGGTCTCTAAACATTTACTCTTCCTATGCTCTGTAGTAGATGTACTTTGTGTTTGTTTATTTTCCTTTGCCGTGTCATCTGTAGTTGCCGTCTGGAGACATTCAGTGTAGGTGTTGGCCCATTTGTTGTCGCTTGTCAACATTCGCGTTTCCATTTTGTGTGTGCTCCACTCACGACACATCGCCGTCCCTGAGGGTGCTTGGATGGTGAAGGATCACAAATGTACTTGAATGTTTATTTTTTTTATTGTTTCATGACTATAAGAATAAAGTAATTAAAAAAAAGTGAATTCATACCTAAGTGTTGCTACTCATTCTTAAAAAAAACAAAGATTAATTGAAAGAATCCTGCCTTGCTCTTCTATTTATACCTGTAGTCCCAGATCGAACGTTTTATGTCTATTGAGCTTCTTTCGCACCGTACGTAGCCATCTGTGCTCATGAGAGGTGCGTGGGAGCGTTAATATAAATCTGCAGCAGTCTAATTAAAAAAAAAAATCGTACTCGTCTCTGGAAAAGCAACGATTGCCGATTTCAATCCCGATCATCGGCGTTAATCGGAGAACGTGCTGGAAACCGCAAGACGCGCTTGAAGTAATTGGCACGTTTTGTTTACGTGACGAATCTTACTAATTGGCTGCGATATTTACGCGATTTGACCCCCCCCCCAAAAAAAACCCCTTTGCTATGGATAATATCTGTCACGAAGAGCCAACTACAGCGTGTCCAACCGCCTCCACCACCGTGGCACCACCGCTGTGCTTCTTCCAGTAACTGGATTCCACGACGTCCGTCTCTCGCCCCCCCCCCCCCCCTGCAGTATTCGCCGGGTATGAGGGTCTCCTCCCTGTCCACGACCAGCGCGCACGACCCGGGACGAGCGGGCGACGCCACGGAAAGGAGAAGCTGAGACGCGGCGTGGCGCGGGAGACGCGGAGCGGAGGAGGGACGTTACCGGGCAACGACGCCCGCCCTTCCACCCGCACGCCGCTCGCAGATCGTGGCCACGGCCTGTGAGCCCATGTGACATCTCTCACCCGTGTACATTTCTGTTTTGCTGTTGTTGTTGTTGTTATCGCTGTACGGGCCATTGTTGCACATGTCTCTACAGGTCATCTATCTAAACTAGGTCTCGCTTTTTTTTTCCGACCATCAGTTCACCGATGTTATATTTTGTTCTCTGAAAGTGGAATACCGCACGGATAATTCAATGTGGCTTCGTAAGGGCTGCAGCTGTAGCGTGTAGCTGTATGGGCACATGCCGTGTGTTTGTTTTATTATCAGGGTTAGGATGTGGCGTGGGAAATCAACTCAATGCTTGTGGGACAGAGCTTATGGCTCGGCACCATTCTTTATTGTCAGTAGTGTTGCATACTTTGAGCCCGAGGTGATTCATTTACGCAATTGAGATTAAATATAGCAATGGTTACCCCCTACTGGCAGACTAATGCGAGAATAAGGCTGACGATGAGACAGTTGCCACTGGGGGTGCCCTTCGAATGATTGAAATGTGATGTAAGGCATTTTGAATTGCTGGCACATTTAAGCGACGCCATATATGTGCCGTGTTTATTGTTCGAGATACAGACACAGTGACATCTTACCACTGCGGTTGTAGCTCTCCCCTTGTTGAGATGTCTCACCTTGATGCACGATGGTCAACTTATCTTCAGCAAGTAACAGGATGGCAGTACAAGGTACGGTTCTTGTGCCATGAGTTTAACTTCTCCAACTGAAGTCTGCTGCATGAAACGTCTCGTCCACCGGGGTGCTGATTTTGTGAGGGAGCCACTGGTCGGCCACGCATTGGACACAGTGCGCACGAAGCGTGAACCACCTGGCACAGGCCATGTAGCTGTTGTCAGCAGCGATGGTGGCGTTCGTTTTGGTGCCCTCGTATATAGATGTAGTTTGAACTTCTTTCGCGACTTATATAGCCAACCGTGCTAAGCAGAGGTGTGCGGGAAGGACAGCAAACTAAACACAAGAAGCAGTTCTAAAGAAATTCGTTTTCAATCTCGATGATGATGATTTAAAGGTGCATAGCTCCAGTGGCTTCCCAATATCGAAAGGAAGAGCGTTCCAGACGGCCGCAGAAGCGCACCCGAAAGCGCCGCGATGCGGTGGCCCGCCCTCTTTGCCTGATGGCCAGCCGAAGAAGCACGTGACCCGAACTCGTGAGCAATCCTTGCGACGAGACCCGTACGATGGAGATCCAGGGAATTCCCCCCTCATCAGTCTCGTTGTCTGCGCGCTGTCTGAAGCGAGGGCAGATGCTGCGACGCGCGGCCTTCCGGCGCATCGCAGCCCATTCGGAGGCAGTGGTGGCGGTGCGAACGAGAAAGTTGGTTTAACACGTAGGCTTTCGCGACCAATATCATCCATAGTAAGAGTTTTTTTTGGGTTAGATCACGTAAATGGAGATTTTTTTTGGGTTAGATCGCGTAAATGTTTACACGATCTAACCCAATAAACCTCTATTATGAATGGGAAAGTAATTTATTTACACACACAAGCCGCTCCGCAAATCAGGCTCGCCGAATTAGATTGAGCAGCGCATTAATACTGCGTCGGTCCACTTCTCTTGCACGTTGTGGGCCTGAAGATCTGTGGATCAGTTTTGATGTAAATAAGTGAAGCGCATTGCCACAAGACTCCTCCCCCCCCCCTCCACCCACCGTGCAGCTAGCCCGCCTGAATTCATCTCGCGCACGTTCAGTTCACGAAACAAGTATGCGTGCAGTGCGCCCTACTTCCCATATCTCGCCCTCTGCATGAACAAAATGAAAGTGTTTTTGTTTAGATTTTTACCCGTATACTGTATGTAGAATGGCTCGACATTGATTTTTAAAGGCGCGTCAACATCGCAGGCTTGCAGCGGTTTGATGTTCATGTTGAGGTCACGTTACACAGTGTGATCAATGCCAGGGACCACATATTCTCTTTAGAATGTTGCTTCAAAGTACCTACTACCCCTGTTAACAAAGTGACTGTAACGTTTTCTAAAGAAACAACAACTCTCTAATCTGCGCATCAGGTGTATTACGTATTTTACCCTCGCCGCAGTTTGTGTTTGTTAACGAACACGATGTAGCTCGAGTTAGCTGCCCTGTGTGAAGTCATTATTATTAATAATAGTAGTAGCGAGTAAATATTATTTGTTGCATCTATGAAACGAAAGGGAAGGAGCCTTGATCCCAGCAACACGACTACCTGATGATGACGACGATGAGTAGAGAATGCGTAGAGTAAACATCACTCTCTCTACGTACTGAGAGTGATACCCGACTAGGAGCATTCGATTTGCTGGCCACAACATGATGCCAGTTGATAGCTTTCCATTTTGTCCACGACTCAGCAGTGTAAATAATATTTTCCCGAATTTATTGTTCGTGATGTTTTTCTTACACACTATAATACACAAAAACCTGCCAATCATATTCATGACAACAAAATAATACGTTCTGTAAAGGCTTTTTGCATTTTACCTAACATCCCTCACCTAACATCCCCAGTGAAAGTTGCCGATGCGTTTCCGCAAATCAAAGTGAAAGCTACGTAAAATTGTAGAGAGCAGTGGGATGTGGATGATGTACAATCATGCGCACTTTGAGATGTGTTGTGTTATTCCGTCATTTTCAGCCCTTCGTAAATTACATCCCTGCCGCGAGCGATGCTGCCGCTCTGCTAGAACGCAAGCCTCGGTGCACCAGGATAGAATGTTATTGACAACGCATTGTCCGTTCGTATTCTAAATTGTCAGTTGAACCGTATGGCGGGACCCCGGGGGTTCCGAATAAACGGAAGTCAAAATCGTAATGAATTAATTCATGTATTGGCGACTCCGTCCCGCCGCGCACATAAATTGCCGTAGTCATAAACAAAACTTTGAAACTTGTATAAGCGCATCGTGTAGAGCTCGTCGAGAGGAATAGATCGCCGTGTCGTTCGCCTTCAGCAGACATAAAATGATCTCGCAACGCAGTTTCCGCGAGAGCCGGGAGCTTACGGGACCCCGGGGGTCCTGCCATAAGGTCCAGTTAATGTCTGTGAAGAAAAAAAAGGCGAAGCATAGCAGCTGTCAAGAATCGCGTGGAGACGTGAGAACATCTCTCTCAGTGTTTCAAACTAACTTTCATAATGACAATGAGCGGCTTTGGTAATCTTTGCGTGTTGACGTCAAAACTATTAACACGAGTCATTTTAAATGTCACAAACGCAACCGCTGCGGGGCTGTTTTGTTGTTGTTGTTGTTCATTAATCAGCTGTGAGAAACTAAAAATTATCGTGTTGCGGGCCGCACCACTGGGTTCCTGTGCAGGCCGAGTGGCCCGGCCCTGCGGTGACGTCAGGGGGCACTGCCAGTTGCGTTCACGAGCGTGTGTGGCCAAAGCTTAGAGTTGGGGCCCCCTTAACAGCTTATTTTGCGAAGATGGGAGCGCCCCTACAGCGTTATGTATTCGAGACCGTGAGCGTAACGATGCTGTGATTAGGATAAGAGGAGCCGAGGTGTATAATTAGAGCCTCTGAGTGCGACCGTCCGAGACAAATTAAATATTGGGGCCCCCACCTGACCAATTTCCGCACCCCCTGAGCTGATAATGTCGTTACTACAACACAGGCCACTGCTCGTAAACAGCCTCCTCCCGAGTTCTGATATAGGACGAGGGTCGTCACGGAGACATGGTACTTCTCCGCCCATGCCCTCATGGGTTAGCGCACACAAGACACAGCAATGGCCGGGCCTTTGTCGCTGCGGTCGTAGCTTGTACTGTTGTAACGATGCGCAGAGTAGTCGATTCGAATTGATTCTAAAGTTCACGGTGCAATCGTCGTACATCGATGGAATCGCACGCGCGCAAGATTCGATCGTGCCCAAACGTGCACGCGTGGTGCGCGTTGAACACGATCCACACGATCAGCCCCTGCGACCACTGTGAGGCCGCTTCATTCATCACGCGGAACAACAATCGTCATCGGCTCATTCCGACGTTGAATCATGCCCCCCTCCCTCCCCCCCCAAATCATCGTGACGATTTCCTAAATCGCAATGGGGCGGGGGGGGATCATCAATGTGAGTAGCGTAGCAAAGCGCGAGATCTTGTGCTACTGCACCTGGCCCATCCCTCTTTGTCTTTCATTGGCTCGACACACCGGAGTGCATTCGCTGACTCCATGAACTCGTGCCACATCTCCGAATGCGCTGAGCCACAGGCGTTCTTCTCTCGCTGTTGGACTCGTGTGCGAGCGCTTGGAGCATTGTCACAAATTGTAATTCGTTAATGCCCCCCCCCGCCACCCCGCTCCAAACGTGCGGTTTTAAATGGGTGGCGTCTAAGTTTTAAAGCCGCAGTGTATCCCGTGCTGCACATGTCCTAGCAATCATCCGTACGTGGTATTGATGTTGGCTTTCTTCCGCGTAACTTCTTCACGTGTGTTTCATTGTACCCTTAACTGCTCGAGAACTATTATGGCATGCTGCTTCTGTTGCATCCAATTCCAGGTGAAATGTGAGTGTCAGTGTAACGCTTGTGTCTGGTCGCCACGTGTGAACCGTGCTATGGCCTGCATGCTCACGGCGTGTGCACTCACGTCGTTTTTGCATTCGTATCTCATTCGTGCAAATGCATGGGCCCAATAAACATTGAACGTAGTGGGTCTACGTTGGGACGCGGGTTTCAACCTCGTGCCAACGGTCGGCCCAACGTTGCACGCTACTGGGAGCAGGGTAGGTGTGTCAACTTTCATAGCGTCGTCTGCGTTACACTTCCGTGAGCTAACTCGTGCTCCCACAGAAAACCATACTTTGGCATAATGTAGATTTTTTTTCCATGCAAGCGTTCACGTCCATTGATAAGAAATGTGTTGTGAAAGTGAACGCTGTATAAACATCATATGAGGGTGGGCGTGCTCTTGGATTCCACAATATATATTGTACAATACAGGCTCCACCATTATCGTGTCGTTCGTTTTTAAAATATTGTAGCTTAGGGATTATTGTTTCTTACATTTTTCTTAAATGATTAATCTCCTGACATTCCATTTATATAGTAAAAAAATATATAGTTGGAAATACAGTCATAATTATGAATGGTTCAAATAACTTGCTATTGTGCAGAAAATTCATGCTTTTTAAAGAGTAATTAACTGCATGGTGGTTACATGACGTCGTAGTTATCAACATTAATGAGATTAAGTAATAACTTTGTACTGACAGCATGTGCATCACAAGTATTGTACACCGTGATTGATTAGAAGACCTGGAGCGCGCTAATTCTTGAGTGAACCGCATACAGTAAGTCGTCTGTATTCGTATAGCAAAGCACAACATAAGACAAGGAAAGTGCCAAATACAATTACACGAGCGAAGGGAAACCGATACCGTGATCATCGTCCTGCCGTGACATCTCGTGGCAGGGCCGTGCCCACATCGTTAGAGGTGGATATATGGCGTATAAATTAAGTTTCCACGATGTCCAATTAAAAGTATCCAACATGGAGCATACGTTGAGGACAAATAATTATTTCTTCACAAATATGACATTCGTGAAAAATGGCGAAAACGGCTTGTGACGTACACCTCCATACTAAGACCGTTTAAAATTATCAGGTCGCCCCCACTGCCCCCTACACGGTGGTCGTGTTGAATGGCACGGCGCTGCTGTCGAGTCGCGGCGCATGGAAGGCATTGGGCGACAATGAAGCCAGTAATTATGTCATTTGACGCCGTCAACATTTCAGCCCTTCTTCTTAACCTACGCTGCAGCCTTGCGCCCCTTTGGTTCATTAAAAAAACTTCACGGGCTTCGATGAAACAAAGTCGTTGTACTCACGTGCCCGTGCCTCATGTGTTTCTCGATTATTTACCTTCTAAATTAATCTGGCCATGCCTCGCACCCCCAGAAAGGGCATCTCGCACCCCCAGGTTAATGCAGACCCATTATTACACTGCACATTAGCGCAGTGCTGTTTCTCTAATTGGTGGTGCCATCATGTGTCGGGATGAGACACGAGTTCTCATGGAAATGGAATACTGTACTGTAATATTTTATAATTTCCACGGTTCCGTTTTTGTCTATGATGCTAGTTTTGTAACTACTTTGAGTCGGTGGGTCGCCAACTCAAAGGCTTAACCACTCAGATTACAAGGCCGAGCGATGTGAATGGAAATGTCCCTATTTGCTCTTCCCCTTATGATGGTGCTGAGGTTTGTTTTTTGTTGTTGCAGATAAATAACCTCTCATTAGTTAGGGTCACCAGGCATTTACCGCTCTTCCTGTTTCTTTGGTGTCATTCTCACATCTCGTGTGAAAGTGACGAGGCCATTGAGATGCCTGTAGAGATTTTGTTGATTTACAATTGCACATGTTATGACGTCGCGTCCGTGCTCTGTGTTAGGGCTGCAGTTTCGTAAATGTCGTCTCTGCATAGGCGATGTTGCCATGCAAAACCGCATTCCCATGATTGTGCAATGGAACCGAAGAGAAATGTACCCGAGTGGAGAAATCATTGTACAAAACGAGGACTACATTTAGATGATTACCTGCGTAGGGCAAATGGTACATGCAGAGGCATGATTGTTTAACTGCAAGTATGGTATTGGGGGTAATCTTGGAAAGTGTTAAATCATTAGGTTAGCAATTCACACTGGCAAATAAGGATATCTGCAATGTTATGCTTAGCTTTGCAGAACCTGTGACATTGTGTAATTTGCTCTCCTCTCACCATCACAAGTGATAATGTGTGCAGAGCGCCAGAACTAGGGTACGTATATTTTAAAATTGAAAAATCTAATATTTGTACTCCAGATTAAAACGTCATTTGAAAGGGCAACGTGCCACTTTTGCCACTGCCATCGTGGTCCCATTTCGTTGAAGAGATCTTCTCGCTTAAAGACGAATAAGCCATGAGTGTGGTCGCATGCTGCGGGTGGTGGTGGCGGTGAGTTTGGTCGTGGTGAGTGTGGTGGTGCTGGTGGTGAGCGTGGTGGTGGTGCTGGTGAGTGTGGTGGTGGTGCTGGTGGTGAGTGTGTTGGTGGTGCTGGTGGTGAGTGTGGTGGTGGTGGTGAATGTGCTGGTGGTGATGGTGGTAGTGAGTGTGGTGGTGCTGGTGTTATATATGTTACGCATACCATGTTATATATGCCGATGATCTGGTGATTGCTGCTCACTCAGAGGAGGAGTTGGAGGCACTGCTGCTGAACCTGGAGCTTGCCACTAAGAGGTGGGGCCTTACCATCAGCCCCAACAAAACGAAGCACCTGCCTCGGTATTTTTTTGTACCATCGGACACTCCACCCCCACAATTCCCAATTGACGATGGTGCAACTGCGGAGAGAGTGGAGAGTTTCCAATACCTGGGCAGTGTGCTCATGACCGGCTCCGGTTTAACAGCAGAGGTCTCACTCCGAATCAGTCGAGCGGCAATACCTTTTCATTGGCTGTGTAATGCTGTGTGGAAGCTACCTCGTCTGTAGCTCCACACAAAACTTCGGGTCCTCTCGGCCACAGTCATGTCTTCCCTTCTCTACGCTTGTGAAATGTGGACCCCCCCCCTAATGAAACCTCTTCACCAGTTAGAAATATTTAGGCTGGCCTGCCTACGATCCATCCTGGGTTTAACCAGGCTTGATTGTGTGAGGAGCTCACCAGTCCTTGAAAGATCTGGACATTGGTGAGCTCCTCCGGCAGGCAAGGCTGCGTTGGCTAGCGTCATGTAGCCCGCATGCCCAGTCACCGCATGCCTAAACAGCTTTTGTTTGGCTGAATAGAGAGTACAAGGCAATTTGGAGCTGAGTGGACTTGCCGATGACTGGTACCAGCGGTGTCAAGATCAGCTTCTGTGGAGGAGGCTCGTGAAGGACGCTACTGGGCAGTTGGAGGCAGTCGCCCTCCAGCAACAACGGAGGGCAGAGGAACGATGCTCACAATAACGAGTAGAGCGCCGGGTGGCTAAAACGCAGCGAGTTGGCGCAGTAGGGGGCTCAGGTGGTGCATCGGCCAGTCGTCTCAGTCAGTCGACGCGCGGCACCTGGGTCTGCCCCGTGACCTGTCAGCGGGCGTTCGACACTTCACGTGGGCTCAACGTGCACATGGCCTGGCACAAGCGTCGTGGTAACGTCACCGCCACTTAGTGGCGAATGGCGGTTGTTGATGTTGCTGGTGAGTATGGTGGTATTGATGAGTGTGGTGATGCTGGCGGTGGTGGTTAGTGTGGTGGTGGTGGTGCTGGTGGTGGTGGTGTGTGTATGTCAATGGAGCTAAGTGAATTCGCGTTGACAGGATGGTTTGTGTTTTGGTGACCCTGCATTGGCAGTGGTGGACCAGTACAAATAGCACACTCAGACACATTTAAACGACCCTCCGCCAAGGCAGTGTGTGGCCCTTATGGACTGATTGTTTCCATAAGTCGCATTTCTGTGTATAATGGAGAGTCCTGGCTTTTAACGTTTCTCGTGGGTTTTTTCTCCCTCCACTTGTGTTGTGGCCTTTTCTTTTCACGGTCATATGGTGCACTGACATTTGCTTATATTCTGCATTTACGATGCAGCAGAGTATAATGCACATGTTGGGGGGTTGCGACTGTACGGTTTAAGATGACATGTTCGGACAGTATTCGGTTTGCAAAGTAAATGTTAAAGAGAAAATCTGTTGATCTTGACCAAATAATAACTTAATACTGTGTGTGTGTGTGGTTGAGGCACGTTTGAAGGCAATTCCTGCACTGGAATTCAGGCGGCGCTCGCCACTCCACAGCGCAGGCATCCTCTCAATAATAACAGATTCAGGGACAGGTCTGAAGAGCGTCAGATAACTTAAACAAAATAATGATAAGTGGTTAATTTAACCTTTATATAAATGTAAAAAAAAAAATTGCATTTCAGTTGCTTGCGACGGTAATGAACAATGCGTTGTTTACAGGCGGTGTGTTGTGGACGTGAGGTTAACGGCGTGCGGCATGTTCATGGCACAATCACGGCGTGGGCCGTGATTGTTCGCCCGCTTCGCAAGTCGCTTCCTGCAGTGACACGGGACGCGTGACCACCGGCGTGTTCCCGTCCACTGCCACGTCATTGGCTGTCGAAGCGTTTGCAGTCAATGGCCTTTTGAATTTCACGCGCATTTTGTTCATCGTGCGGGACAGCAAGTTGCCCACGTGGGACCGTGCACAGAACCCAGATGTCAATTATAATCGAGCTCAGTCCGGTTACAATGGAGTGCATTTTACAATGTTTTACCAAGCACAAGTTTGGGGGATGTAAATAATGATCTACAGAGTGATTCAAAGTTAACTAAATAAATTGGCAGGCAATATGCATCCTTTCCCATGTATGTCCCTCCACGTAAAACACCAAAAAAAGTTTTCTTTTTTACACATCCCATCAGCCAAAATGTCCTTCTGGGAATGCATTTTTTTGTTGCAGCATTGGTTCAAGCAAACTCTGCAGTGGTTTTCGACAATTAGTTCAGGCTTTGCTTCAACGAATGCTGGCGAACCGCCCGATGTTCATAGACGAGGACCCTCTCTGTCAGATATGGATCTTTGTTCGATGCAAAATTGCATATACTGCGACGCATAGCACGATGCGAATGATCACGAGCGATGACATCGTTACCTAATTCAAAAGTGGCCGCTGTTCTAAATGCCGATGGCCGTCCACACTCGCACGCCTTGACCCGCTGTGACCCTCAATCGAGACGCAGACTGGACACGGGCCGAGGAACTCTCCTTGGCCCGCCCAGGCAACGCGATGTCGCTTCCACGGCGCACGGCAGCTTTTTTTAACGTAACGCAATCTGGACGCGATCTTCAAGTTGTATTCCACGGGATCAACTTGGCGGCACATTTCACGCATCGCACGCTACGGCTTAATTGAGGAGCGCCTGAGCATTATTCGAGCATCGCAAGTTCGTGTCGGCTCCCACGGGCCCCTTTGAGGCTGTTGAGTCGTGTTGGCTGTGCTTGACCGTGGAAGGTGCAGGGAAAATGGTTGACACGACACTTGCGTTGGATTTGCTTCACTAGCATGGCTGGTGCACCGCATGTAGCAGCAGCAGCAGCTATCGAAGCAACAGAACTCCACGTGACACGTGACTGAATGGACTAGGATTCATGAATCGCTGTTATCATTGATTCATGATTTAAACGTAATTTTTAAAGTTTGTTTTACATAACCAGGTTTGTGTATGCTGACTACGCCAGTGATATTGAAAGACGGTTGCAACATTGTTTTATTCTGCCACTTTGTTAAAGATGGATCATTAAAACATTAACTTTTTTTAATATTTACCGACATTTTGCCGGTCTTAGTTTGCGTATTTCCTAACAATATTTTCATGTTTTTTTATGTTGGTAGGCTTAATAGTATTTAATTTTATATTTCAACACGACCCTTTACATTCAATTGGGTATTGACTTGCTTTTTGTGATGTGATTATTGTGCAGCGATTTGCATTGTTCAGAGCCATAGAATGTCCGCCTTGCAGTAGCTTCATAAGCGCGTTTGTCTTTGGGGAAAACTTGTAAATGTAGTATCATAAACGGTAAATGCAGAGTTTAACACTGCCATTAAGCACTTGGGTGAAATACCAGTGGTGGAAATTACACATTCCTATGGCGGTGCCAAGTCTACCCGTAGGACAACCACTGTTAACTTCGCCATGAAGTGGAACTAATTTG